TGATCCCAGTTTAATCAAACATTGTTCTTTTATATCCAGTGTCTATCATACTTTAAAGTAAATATGTGATCAGTTAATTTATTAAATTTGGAGTAAATGGTGATTGTTTATTTATATTGTCCAGTATAATATTGCTTAGATCAGTAAAGACATAACTAATTAAATGAATATTTCCGATCAACGCTTTATTTTGAACGCTCACAATAAAGAGTGATCTCAATTAAACAGCAGTCAAAAACCAAGAAGTACTGAACAATTCTTGGATCCTTGTTTAAGATTTTTCAATAGTGCACATCCATAACCTGACTAAGGAATGAACTCACTATCTTCAAACTTTACAATGAACCTTTTACTTTGAAATTACTGAATTTTCATCTAAATTACTTACTTACGCCTTTTACTCTCAGTAGAGCATAGACCGCCGACCAGTCCTGGGCTTTCCTTTCTAAATCTATCCAAATGTTGTTCATTCCTCTCATATATGTCTCCATTTCTCGTCGTAATATGTTCTTTAGTCTTCCTCATCTCCTTTATTTGAACTTATATCAATACACGTGGACAACCGCGGACACTCATTCGATTGGAAAAATGTGGAAATCTTAGAGAAAACTCTAAAAACTCCGGAGAATGTTTAGAAGCCTGACACTCAGGTCACTCAGCAATCAACAAGCACATTGAAATCGATCCAATTTATCAACCAATCAGAAAAATTAAGCCAATGGGAGACAAGCAAAACAAAGGAGTAAACGATAAAAAAGTTGAGGTCAGTAAGAATCAATCAACGTCAAGGTGTACAGAACAAGCTGTGAAACGCATATGGAGAAATTTGAACACTTCACTTCTATCTGAAGTTTGTGCTGATGATTTCGTTTAGAAGAACGATAAAATCTCTACGACTAAACCATCCAGCTCAAAGAACAAAACTCCATCAAAATCATCCACCTGAGTTACAGATCTTCTCCACATGGATTGATATAAGCGAAGATATATCATGGAGTTTGACCGCCAATCGATGTTCGTGCAAGCGAAGATGAAGGTTGTGTCCACTTTATCGGATATAGTATTTTTAACAGTTGAAACAGTTGACTTTGTAGATGATGTTTGATTTTTCTTCTTTTGTCATTTCTTCCTTTGATTTGTATAGGATTAATTGAAGTGATTCTGCTGATTTGTGTGATGCATCTATTCCAAACGGCTTCATTAGTCTCGTAATTTCTGATGTCTTTTATATATCGTAAGATGATCTGTTTCCTGCCTCATATACTTGATTTCATTTCTGCTGATGAGTTGGGTTGATACTTTTTGATGAAAGTGAGTGAGTAGTAGTTCGTTTTAAAGAACAGTCTTTTGATATTTTTCTTCATTTCTCCGAATCTCACTAACCGAATTATTGACCACAAACTATAAAACTTTTCTTTAAGATGAGAGGCTTAGTGTTATTACTGTTCCTACTAATATTATCCAAATATGTCCCCACAGGAACAGAATTGGGGATGAGACTATAATTTATGGACAACCTTAGAGTGACGTTGAAATGGCCTTTAGAATGTCCACCTACTGACTGGGGCTAAATGATAGTTTTAAACCAGTGTGAAGGATAAGGATTGTGATTTCCAGTTGATGGTCATGGATAAGGATTAGATTTAGGGTTTTCATTATGAACTAGTATCAGCTAAAATACCAAAATGTTATTTATCCAAATGGATGAATGAATCTCGCGCTCAAACCCAAGACCTCTTATCTTATACCTGATTGGTTCGTTCACAAATTATAATCTCGCCATCAAAATGAAAATTTAATAAACCATCACCATTCAAAATTACCTGTGATCAGGATACATTTCATCAGGTCAAAGTTTATTTCCTAACAGTTTATCTAAGATATGATGAGAAAGAAAAAAGTGAGAATTTTATTGTATGTATGCAATGTGTGCTACTTATATCGACAGACATAAGTAGTACGTAATATCAATCAGAAGTAGAATGCCTGGTAGCAGAAGGTTGAGAAGATCAAATCGAAGAGAAAAAGAATGTTAACAACAATAATGAAGGAACAAGGAAGTTTTTGTCAGAGACAAGTGATGGAACATGTGCAAATAAATTATTTAACGTATAGTTTTCACATTTTACTAAGACACTATATAATTTTACGTTAAACAATAAGTTGGTCCTCCTCACCTGAGTGTTTGTTCACTACATGTACACTGTTTATCAATTTAAAGTAGAATTAGTAACTAGGACAAATGATTAAAACACTGATTACTCATAGGTTTGAAAGTGCAATTTATTTAAGATTGAAATTACTTACGTACGCCTGTTATCCCTCATGGAAAAGTATAGGCCACCCACCAGCATTCTCCATCCAATCGTGTCCTGGGAAATCTTCTCCAATTGCTGTCCATCACTTTCACGTGCAGTGTTCTTTGGCCTTCCTCTTTTTCGTTTCCCTTCAAGATTGATTGCGCAACCTATTCAGGTGCGTTTGTAAAAAGTTCATGACCTTTTACTGTACAAATTAGGAAAGAGCACAACCAGAGTCGTTGTGGTTGCTGGCAGTATACATCGAAAAGAATGTACACTATTCATATATCGATTCCTGAACTGCTAACATCTAACTGGCCATCACTCAATATTTATCGTCAGGATCGATCAAGGAATAAGAAATGGAAACTCGTTGAAATACTTTGCGCTGAGAATTCTACATTGTACCAAAAATATAATATTGGATAAAGCTAATAATCATGGTAATAACAACTAATTTCCTCCTTAGTTGGAAGCTGGTATGTTCTCTCTCATAGTAGACTGTTGCTGATAATATCCGGTCAACGGAAATTGAGTATCGTGTGTGTATAATCGTTTGGAAATACCAGTGCTTTTGACGATAGTTGTAGTAGTTCTCCAAGTACAGTAGAACCGTCTTGACGTTCGTATTGAAGATTCTTACTTTAATATTAGTTGACAGTTGTTTTGAGTTCCATATGTTCTTCAACGGCAGGAATATGACCCTTGTTTTGCCAATCCTCTCCTTTACCTCTGCATTTGATCCCACTTGTTCATCGATAATGCTTTCCAGATGCATGAAAGTTTCCACCTTTTCCAGAGTTTCGCCATGAAGTGTGATAGGGTTGGTATTCTCCGTGTATTTAAAGATCTTGCTTTTTCTCTTGTGTATATTGAGGTCTACCGTTGCAGAAGCTGCTACTACACTGTTGGTCTTCTTATGCTTTTCTTTATGTAGATGAAATAGAAGGGACAGGTCATTTGCCAAGAAAATTGAAAACATTCGATCATTTTTTGAGAACCAGGAGGTACTCTGAATCCGTTTCTTTCTGATATAATACTTGTCAGTAGTCTATATTCTCAATTTCACATAGTGTTGAGATTTGAAGTTTCCTGGGTTTCTTATGCCATCAAGTTAAAATGCATTGACATAACATTTCAACTTTAAGGAATCTATAATTGTATGAATTTAAATTCAAACGTCTAAACTTTTATACCTCTATTTAATAATTGTCTATCATTACCTTATTCTATAGTTTTCTTAACATTTTGACAATTTAGTTACCATCTTTCAAAATGTATTACCATCTAATCAACATTTAACCAAGAACTATGCATATATCCAATAATACAACTGAAGTTGTAGTTTTAATCATTAATTTATGTTATTAGTGTTATGGAATCTTCTTGAAAAACCGGTACATATTTATCATCAGAAGGGGTTTTGTGGATATTATAGTCAATTGAAGATAGACCTGGAAGCATTGGACGGACATTTCGGCCTATTATGAGACACCTCGACAGTGCGCATCCACGATCCTACCTCGTGAGATTCGAACCCAGGACCTATCAGTAACCAGTGGAGTTCAACTAGTTTGATGTGAGATAGTAACCCACTGAAAACAACAGTGGACGTGTCACTCAATCTCGTGGATTAGCTGAAGTTAGACATATTTATCATAATCAAATTTTAATGTTTACCCAATTAAATAAAGTAAATTCAGAAATACACCGACTTCGTAGTGAACGAAAACACAAGCGAAGTAATCGAATTACAGAATTACAGAACATCTTAGTAAAATCTGAGAATTATGCAATAAATATTTAATTTACAACCACTGTCAGGGAATTCCTACTCACTGCCTTCTCGTGGCGGGGGTGCTGCTTACGAAATTGCAAGGACGAAAAGCGAATATCCAGAGCTTTAACCGGGTTGGTGAATATGGAGGATCCACTTAGGGACGTTAGAAAACCCTGATTTCTAGACCAGTGGTGCACATAAACTCCAGGATCCTGAAGGAAAATGGCGTACAAATCAACCGTTGGTTACCGGCTACCATAGGAGTGCATCAGCTTACGTTGCTGCCTAGTGGTTCGGACATTCAGGTCGAAGACTCCAGTTGTGGCCCTCTAAAGAAACCACCTGTTTCGGTTTGGGCACACGGGAAGTATGACAGCCCTGAAAGAAATCAATTGATTTATGTGGCGTATATCTATTTGGTGCCTCCTTGTACCAATATTTATGTACTTAAATAATATTAATAAATAAACTTCGTGATTAGTTCTTTATCAATTAGACTACAAATTTAAAATTGTTCAATTTTTCTATGGTTCCCCAGGGTTAATTATGAGCAGTTTTCAATCTTAATAGTTTCTGATCAACAAAAAAAGCCATATTATAGTGAACGAGAATACAAGTGAGGACAATCCTAATATATCTGAACATAAGATTACATAACGTCTTACTAAAATCTGACGACCTTACAGTAAATACTTCATTTGTAAAATATCAATCAATCGTCTCAGATTTCATTATTCCTACATTTCCATACCAATTGCTTTTTGTTCTCATTCTTTCCGTCTTGACTTTCTGTTGTCAGATAATTCTATTCTTTTCGACTATTGTTATATACTACTTATATGGATATAAGTAGCACACACCACTATATATATATATGATTTAATCTTTTAAAATTTGCTTTTTTTTCTTCTTAAATATAGCCTGTCTTTGAACGTCCATTTGTTCAACAACCAGATAATTTTCCTAAAGAAAAGTTAAAAATTCTTATATGGGAAGAAATTCAACGATATCGTAGTAATAAAAATATCAATGATCTAGTTTATATTAATAATACAAATGTCGAACATATAGATGATCAATCAGGTAAGGATCATGATTGTATTGATTAAGGATGCTTCATTGATTTATTGTATTCGAAGATATTCTATTAGTTATCAGTAGTTTAATCATCATATTGAGTCAATGAAGAACTGTATTGGTTTGATTAGTAATCTATTTGATTTGAATCATTTTTATAACTGATTAGAATATTGTTGGAATGATGAATTCATTTGAGATTGACAGTTGTAAAATTGTGAACTAGCAAAATTTAGAGAAGTTAACTTTTAAAACAGCTAGTCCTGATAGTAGCTAACAAGAATTAGTAGCTAAGTGGATGGTATTTGGAACAAACGGTACTGAGTTCGAGTCCAGGAGTGATAATCATCAACTGTTGAAGAGTCCGAAATAGGACGAAAAGCGATTCCTGAATTCCATTGCTGCCCATCGTCTATCTTTGCTTATAATGTTTTTAGATAACGGGTTTTAACCTCTCTTCTAGATAATTTGATGAATACAATGAACAATAAGTTGTGTAATATTAGCAAAGATTAAACCTGATAAGATGTTTATGTTGTCGAATGCCACTTTGGCCTATTCTACTTTTAATATTATAGAACAATAATAAAAATAACGAAGGAGATGATATTAAATTAAATGAAACTCATCATAAAACATTTATTTGTTTTCTGGGTTTTTATTCTAAGGAATTATAATGTACATTGCATTGACTGTTCACTGATAAGTGATCATTGCCATGTTTGTTTATCCCTTAGGTGGTATATTTGAATTCTATCAATCAAGTTGTAAATAGTACGAAATCTGAGTTCAGGGTTTTATATCGACCACCTTCAACCATTTAATACCTCAACATAGTGCACGTGATATTGAATCATTTAGACTAATGGCCACACTAGAAACTGGTTAGTAGGATTCAACCAACACTACAGAACTAGACAAACAAGACTTTACTACCTACTTAGTTGTCGATCAATTGTAATTATTTCAATTTCATAGAAGTTAACTAAAGGCCTGAATAACCCAGTAATGACATCTTAGATTATGAAACTGAGTGATAGGGAATCGAATCCACCGGAGTATATCAATGGCCTCGAGATCGCATATACACCTCACTTATGAGTGTCAGGTAGCAGGAAACCTAGACCCAGTGATTCCTTTTGACAATTCCAACCACCAAACACGACATGGGAGACTGTTATGCTTGAAGCAATAATACAAACACGTGGCGAAACTATAATTTATGGATGACTGTTAGACAGATCTTAAGAGTGACCTCGAAAAATTGAGATCGTAATGCATAAGGTATAGAAACTCACCCATGTAACTCAAAAATGGTCGACTATTGAAGCTGTAATAAGGTCATATAAATTCTTTAGCCTCGACTGCATTGCTTCTCTATTGTTGACATTATGTCCTATAGTCCGTCAAATATCATGTGACACATTGCCAATGAAGCGTTAATTAGCATGAGCAGCCTAGAGGCAACTCTAAGTTCTTATTGATTCTTCTCACCTAGCCCTGCCCTTTGATTCTAGAACACAAATAACAGCCTCCGCTATATGAATCATGTATTTCAGGCATATAGTGTATATACAGGCAAACCAAAGCGCATTACATCATAAAATATAAGATGACAACTATACAAGATCAAGCCAAATTTGGCTGAGTGTGAGAGACTGTAAGTAATAAAGCGGGACTCCTAAATAATACTGCAATAGCCAATAGATCAGATGAAAGGAGTACGAATGTATATATAATCTAGTTACTTAATAATTTCCCAATACGGATATATGTATCAATAGTCCATAAATAATTCCTAGAAGTTACTATTCATTTATTCTTCTTTAGGATACAACAGTTGTTGTGTACTTCTGTGCTAAGGTTACAAAATGTCACTCGTGAACGACAACACGATGAACACAACCATGTCTAGACAGGAATCTATATGCCCTTTGATCGTCTGTGTATATTGTAGTACCCGCCTGCGCATACTCCCATATGAATAGTGTCAGCATTCTATCTCGTTAATTTCTGGCGTGTTGGTAATGTCTTCTTTCATATATATCAAAAACCTGCTAAGTATATTTAAAGAGCTGTAGCTAATTCACTCTCTTCTCACACCTCTTCCTCTATTGAATTTGTGTTTCCCAAAAACTGTTTCATTGATTTCTTTGATTCCTCCTATCTCTCCAAACGACTGATTTCAACTCATAGTCCTTGTTGCACTTATATCTTCACAGTACTCATACCACTGAACTGCTGAAGCTTCAGTAACATTTGCAAAGTTTTCAGTCAGTTTTACTGGTGATCTTTTTATTCAGTTTGCAACAATTAGCGTGAGCTTTCTTTGTGTCAATCGGAATGGAGTAGAAAAAGTCGCCACCCTTTCAGACTTCTTCCTCCAACTCATAATACATTGAAATGCCACATCATCATGATAGTCTGTACACTGTCCAGTAGTCATTTGAATAACACGATCAAATAAAGGGGCTTCTCGGTAATCGCATCTGTTGTAACCGCCCAACTATAACATCCTCCTTGAAATTCACTGTAAATCGTTCGTAAGTGTCCATCGGATACTGAAATGCGCATCAATGACTTTAAACTTATTTAATCGGTTCTGACTGACTCGTCCATAAATTCTGTTCTCTCCGCAACACCTCAACTAAATGCCGTGAAACGTAAACGTCATTAATCTACGAAGTATTCCACTCTCATAAGCCCCTATCTGACTTCAGAATTCATATGACTGAATATATGAACTTTAAAGGACTTCAATAGTTCATATTGAAAAATGTAAAAAAGTATGTTATCAAATCAAAATAGTCCAAGATCTTTTGACTCACAGAGTAAAATGAAAAATAATGACCAACGTTTCTTAGTTATTTCAATAGTTTTAACCTCATCTTTTACCAAATGATCCATTTAATCATGTGATCAATAAAGTATTAACTACTCATTGTCCTTTTATGTAACAAGTCTCGTGATTCCATCATTAACCTATTTAGATGGTCATCTAGAAATGGATAGTTTAAACTCTTATCTCAGCTAACTGATTATCTGTTGAAGTCAGTAAAATATTGTAATGTATTTTTATAATCTAAAATTAATATTTTAATAGTTGAGATCATGAGTCAATTGAAGCTAGACCATCATGAAAAACCTGGGAGCACTGAACGGCTGTTTAGTCCTATTTTGGGATTCCTCAACTGTGCACATCCCGCCTCTCGAAATTCGAACACAGGATCTATCAGTCTCGCGCACGAGTGTTTAAAATCTACACCACTGAGTCGGCATCCAACAGTGTTAATATCTAACTTTAACCAATCCACTAAATTGATCGACACATCTACCATTGTTTTCAATGAGTTACTATCTCACAACAGACATGGTTGAACTCCACTGTTCACTGCTTCTCGTTAGAACTTCAGGAAATATCTCTTGAAGCCAGTGGCTAGTGAGCATATATTGAATAATATCAGAAGGGGTTTTGTGAAGATTGTAATAATTTCAATAGTTGAGATCATGAGTCAATTGAAGCTAGACTATCATTGAAAACCTGGAAGCACTGAATGGGCCTGGATCAAGGATGCCCACTACTGAGGAGTCCCACAATAAAATGAAACGGTCGTCAAACAGTACTTCCCGGTTTTCCATAATGGTCCAACTTCAGTTAACTCATCATCTCAACCATTGAAATAACTATAATATCTACAAAAACCCATTCCAATAATAAAAATTAATGTCATTTTATTTCCTTAATTTGATTATTTAAACAATTTGGTTTCAGATGGTACAATAACATCAGGAATTATATCAGTCAATCAACAACAACAATCTTAATCTTAATTCCAAATTCCAATCCACTATTATCAGAATACATTGAATATATAATGGTAATTGAATTGATTCAATTATTTCTCATTAAATTAATGTTTTATATTTCAATTCAATCAATTGTGTGTATGTGTTTGTCCTTTTTGGGTTTTTTTTTTCTTTTGTTTAAGAATAAGATTTTTTTTCTTCTCTTTTTTTTAATCACCAAGCCTACTATATACATTTTGTCTACAAATTGCCTATTTTGTAAATGCCTATTTATTTACTTGTGTATGCTTGTGCGTATGTATGTGTATGTGAAAGAGATTTAACACTTTGGACTATAGTCATTAATATAGATTATGATATTTTAATGGTAAGTTCAATGTGAACATTTTATCATTGATGAGGATAACCATGACGACCAGAATGATGATGATGATGACGTCATCATGTCAATTGTTACGACACTAATTAAGTTCTTTTTTTTCTTTGTCTTTCTCTCTCTCTCTCTCTCTTTCTTCATTATATCAATCGATATATACATGTATTGTGTCGTTTCTTTCAAAAGGATTACAGTATCTTTGAATGTACTTCTCTAAGGTGAATATGATTGATTGGCAAAGATCTTGCCTAAAAAATTGTTTAAAGTATAGTTTTATGTAAAGATATTATTATTGTCCTTTTGTTTATGATAAAAAAATTTCGTATTCTCTGTTTATACTACTTATAGCCAATTAATCTTTTTTTTGTAATGAAAAAAAATGCACAGAATGTTTAGCATTTCTCTTTGTGTGTTTCATTGAATCAGTTCTCTATTTGTTGTCATGGTAACAGTTATCAAATAAAATTAAACATTATCCCCTCTTTATTGATTTTCTTCTAAATGTTAATTCATTAAGAAAAGAATCATTTATATGAATCATATGTTAACTTAGTTATTCCCATTTCACTGTAATGAATATCTCTGTTGCGTAATATGTGAATGTTATGCAAGATTTAACCTTTTTTTATAACTAATTTTCAATCATTTGTTTTTCTCTATTCATTCAATATCACCCTTATTTTTTTTTGTTCTTATTATATTATTCAATGAGATGATAATTTATAAACGATCATTGACCGATCACTGAAGTTGATCTTGAAAATATTCACCTAGTTACTAGAGTGATAAAGGAGTGTGGAAAAAAAGGATTATAATTGATTATTAGATTTAGAGTTTTCATTATGAATCGACATCAGTTAAAAATGACAACGTTATGAGTAGATGAAGTTTGTGTCAAAATGCAAGACTTGTTATGATAAATCTGATTGGTTCATCCATAAATTATAGTCACATTTAGATGGTGGTTGGATATTGTCGACAGGAAACCCCGGGACCCGGGTTTCGTACTACTTGGCAGTCGTCAGCAAGGTGTCCCTGTGCCTCTGACTGTAAAGATGAGAGACACGGGATCGAATCCGCCAGGGAGCACCAGTTCCCTCAGGATTACAGGTACACCTTGCTAACGAATGCCAAATAGCACGAAACCCGGGTCCAGGGTTTCCTGTCGACTACCTCCAACCATTATCTAATCTCAATATATAGTGTCCACAATGTCGAGTCACCTAGACTGGTGACCACATAGTTGTTCATTATAAGCAAAGATGGATAGTGGCTAACAGTGGAATCCAGTATGATGCGTGTTTCGATTCTATTTAGGGCTCGTCAGTTAAGTGTATCTGCATCTTATAGTTGATGTTCACTCCTGGACTCAAACCCAGTACGCATTGCTTTAAACGCCATTATCTACTTAGCTGATGAATCCTGATAGCCACTTGCTTGTGCAATAGGATGAAGTTTAAATTCACTTACTATTATCTATATAAATCATCCCATTGATGTTTAGGATTGCAATCGATAAGTCGCTTATTGGCATATTTGCATCCAGCTGACGAGTCCCAAATAGAACTGAAACACGCATCAAACTGGATTGAACTGCTAACCACTATGCATCGTTATTTATAAAGCCTGCGGATTATGACAATATCGAAGCAATACATATAATATGCACATATGACAATAAGTGACTGATCAACTGCAATCCTAAACATCAATGGGAACATTCAAGTACACACTATCAAATGAATTGAAACTAGACTTTTTGTCTTATTGAAGAAAAATAATACTCATTTCATATGTGATCTCCTTCATTTATATCAACTCCTCTTCCACATTTCATGGAAAGGTAAGATTAAAAGAACTTTCATTCCTCATTATGTTAAATTTTTGTTTGATTATGATTTGAAATCTATGGTTTCAGTGAATTTCCTCATAAAGATTGTTTTCGCCTTATAAATAAAAATAAACTACTTAGAATCACTAATAAGTAGGCAAAGTCTTATTACAAAATTATCCGACATATTAATGATTGTGTTTTTCAAGGGCTTACACTAGAAAACCCTGTTCATTTGTTCCTATGTTGTTTTGTTGTTACAGAGGTGTGTTGAATTACATAACCTATTTTTAAGGAAAAAACTAATTTGTTTTCATTGAAACACTATTTACGATAGTCGGGTGTTCCCTATGGATAACTAGCATCTTAGACGATAAAGCCTAACCACATAGGAAACAAAAGTCTAAACAACGTCAATACTGAAAAACACATACTTTAAGTCCCCTCTTTAGGCTTACAGTAATGTTGATGATGTTTGAAAAAGTGGGAAACTTGTCGAAAGAATAAAGAAAAATGTTTTTAAAAATTTTTTCTTAACCGATGTTAAACACTTGTTCCATAATGTTTGAGATCATGTTTGAAGTAAGCTAAGATCATCAATCTTCTCTCCACCTAAAACCTTCCCCTTATCAAATTGCGACGAATAATTTAACGATTGCGCTGATTATCAGTTCATTTTTAAATGGAATTAAACTTATTGGTTTTTCAACTGATGTACATACATTAGATTATGGTGTATGTTACCTATGTTGACAGATATAAGTAGTGTGTAGCACCAATCTAAAGTGGAATGCCTACGAGCAAATGATTGAGGAAACTAAAAGCAATCAAGATAATAACGGGAATCAACGAACAATTCCAAGAAAGAACTTTTCTGATATTAGCTAATCATGGAAGACCGAGAGGGATCAGATGAATAACTTGCATCAAGATGAATGACATTCAACATGAATTTTATTATAAAATCTCAAATGGTACAAGTCTCATGTAATTCCAATAGGGTGTTTAAGTACTCTTGATGTTTGAAATTAAGGCTAACGCTTGAACATTTCAAAAAATTAAGTGTGAAACCATTAGATAAATGAAGGATAAGAACTCGTTTCGAGAGAATTTGAAAAGAAAGAAACTGACTTACATATACAAAGATCATCTGCCCACCCAAAAAGCGAGTCAAATGCAGAACTAGTTTCCAAATAAGGATCGAATATACTTTTCACCCTTTTCTCCAATGAACACTGTATTAAAATGCAGGACAGAGCACTTCTTGGGCATCTGTAAGCGAAATGATACGGATCAATTTGCTCGTTTATTGCAAGTAGCAATAGTTCCGCCAGTATTTCAACAAAAGAAGTTATTGTTATGGGTTTAAACTTCACATTCTAATCAATAGATACGTTCTGTAGTATTGCAACTATCTTCATTTATTTCTACATTTTCGATATAAAATTAATTGAAAAAGCTTTCTTAAAGAAGCTCGTAAATGGATGACACAGGAAATAATCATATTTTATAAAAACGTTTCAAATGCTATCAGGTCCTAAATATTGTGTTGAGTTGAGAGATGACTAGACATCACACCTAATGTTTGGTTTAGAATCGATTACATGTGGCTGTATGTAGTGATTACGTAATATTTACTTGAATCTTCCCATTGATGTTTAGGACTGAAATTGATCAGTCTCTTATTAGCGTGTGTGCATATTGCCTTAATTCAAAAGCATTATAAGCGAAGATGGATAGTGACTAGCAGTGGAATCCAGTTTGATGCACCTTTCAGTTCTATTTGGGACTCGTCAGCCGAATTTACCTGTATTTTAGAGTTGATGTTCACTCTGGGATTCAAGCCTAATACTGTTCACTACAAACGCCATCGTGATTAATGATTCAGTTTAATGGTTTTATAATTTCTAACCCAATGAATTGTTTTGTAATAAATACTAATCAAAATGGAAAATGTAACCTTTGACAATTTAATATTCATTCATATGGGTATCATGAAGAAATATCACGTTCTAACAAACTTGTTCCTACTAATTAAGTGATTATAGTTTTGTGTAATATGTTTTTATTTTTATTTATTTCAACACATAGATAATGGTACAAAGAGGCACCAAACACATGTGCGCCACACAAATTTCATTCGATATGTGTGTGAGGGTTGTGATACTGCCCGGGTGCCCAAACCGAAGCAGGTGGTTTTCTTAGGGGGCCACACCCCGAGCCTTCGACCTGAAGGTCTGATCCACAAGGCAGTGGAGCATCGTAAGGAGATGCAGTCCCATGGAAGCCGGTGACCAACAATTGGTTCATACGCCATTGGTTCCCGCAGGATACTGGAGCCCATGTGCACCATTGGTTTGGAATACGGTTAAAGCGCCGGACATTCGCTTTTCGTCCTCTCATTTTTGTAAACAACACCCCCGCCACGAGAAGGCAGTGAGTAGGACTTCCCTGGAAGAGGCTATATACGCGTGGCCATGTGAGAGCATTTCGAGAGGGAGAGCGGACTCTCCCCACTCTCGGCCGTACCAGGGCATTTGGGGGCTGTGTAATATGTACTGGTCGATCATTGAGTAACTAATATCATGTTTGTTATTTATGCCTTAGTAACTGATCAAGTAGCTGTGACGAATAACATACGATATGATCTGACTTGAGAAGTGAAAAATTGGTTAGCATAAAACGAATTCACAAGTAAATGAATAAACAATCTGTTTACAAGATTATTGCTACTTACGAAATACTAGTCAGTGATACTTATAAGTCAATAAACATCCATTGTCTTACTGTGAACAACAACGAGCAGATAAGTAGTAATTTGAAGATAGTCTCATATATTCCATGTCCTGTTCAGTTTCATAACAGTCAATGGATTGGTGAGATTGATTACTATCTATATTTCTGTACTGTTATATACCGACGAGAATAGTGGATAGTAACTATTGAGATGTATTTATGGATCATTACTATACTTATATTTTTATTGTATAATTGTTAAGTAGCTAAACTATGGATATTCATGTTCTTCCTACTATATGCTTTATTTTGACTTATAGACTATTATTATACGATTTACCGTTCTTGAGTTATGCTCAGTCTATTAATTACACAATCACAGCCACATTTATCAAGATCTTGTACAAGTGTTGTTCTGTATTTTATGGTGCGATGTAGTCTGTTTATTTGTATATAGACTCAGTATATTTGAAATAAATCATTCATACCGCAGAGGCTGAGATAGGTGTTCTGGACTCTAACAGGCTGGGCTAGGCGGAACGCAGGATCACTCAGGATCCTAAACTGCTCGTACGGTTTGTGCGTCATTGGTCCGGTCGATAAGTCACTATTCTCTAATTGGCGGTATTATTACGTTACATATTAATAGGGCACAAGACCACAAGTTATAACATGTACAAAGAGTACTTCTAATTAACAGATGGCCTGCTTGAACTGTTATCTGTTTATTTTCCAAATGCTCGAACATAGTACTTATGTTTCCTGTTTCAGATATACTACAAATAACTTTCACAAAATGCTCACAACACATTACGATGCTAATTTCTCCAAAACTCTCGTAAAATGTAACACTACTGTGTTACGAGTAACAGTATATGAAATAGGATTATTATAGTTAAAATATTTAAAGCTTAGCATACACTACTGATAACTAGCTATGCTTTTCTATAAAAATAATCAGCGAAACGATAGAGACATCAAGTTTGTAAATAGACAAATGAACCAGGAAGAAAAGTTGGAGTTATCAATCATAATCTTTCTTTAAGAATTAATTAGGTTTCAACTACGTCTGTCAAATTCTAAAGCACGCTTAAATAAAAGTAAAACATGAAAATTTTTTGTCGAGATCATGAACCGATGAAGGTTGGACGACCATTGCGAACTTGAAAGCACTGGATGGCCATCCCATTGTAGTATAAGACTCCTCAGCAGCCTGCATCCTCGGCTCTGGAAACGAAGTTCGAACCCTGGACCTGCACCCACGAGCAAGTTCTTAATCCCTAGACTACCGTAGCCCAGTGGTGGACGAGTCTAACTTCAGCAGCCCACGATACTGTTATCGAGACTGGAGGTCTCCAGTTCAATTCCTGAGATCGTAGGTGTAAACTACTGAGGAGTCCTGTTCTAGAATGAAAAGGCCACCCAATACTCCTAGGTTTTCATTGGTAGTCTAATATAGAACTGATTGTGATTGAAACAAAATTGAACAATTCCCACAAACCCATACTGACACATACAGTTCTCTTGTATGACGGTTTTCATTCACAAACTTATATTACCCTCAGATTATCGCAAGTATTGAAAGCTGACATTGATGTAACCTTGTTAGAATAAACTAGCATTTATTACTAGCGTTCCAGACATTATTAATAAATTTGTGGGTAATTAGTAACCCAGGCAGTAAATTAATTCAAAGTCTTGTGATACAATAACAACATCACCTAGTCAGTTAAAAGAACTTCACCATTACTATTTATGCTATAACCTGAGTATACATAACGCGTTTTTACGGGCTATAATCAGGCAAAGTGCATAAGTAAGTGTTACTAAATCGCTTAGCTCAAAGACAACCAAGCTAAAGGGATGTACCTGAGCTACAAGCCTTTTTCATTATACAATTTAACATTTGGTTATGATTAACAACATAATACAGTGAACACAATTTGTTTTATGTAATGGTTAGTAACACTAACTCATGAGCACGAACCCAAGTTGGTGGAATAGTAGTCCGAACTGCATCAGATATACTGATTAAATTAGTTCTTCCATATAATGTAGAGCGAATCCGAATTCTTATGACGTATGGTATAAAAATATTTATTACATTGCTACAACATATTCACGCGACTGAATCCCTGTAAAGAATACTTACTGGTGATTGGATTAAATTAGTCTGGTCATACGAAATACTCCTAAATGGTTTTAAATCTTCAGGTATCTCTAAACATTAGGGTATGCTTCTTTTGAGTCACAAATCAATAGTTAAGTCTAATTTAACTATAAGTTCCTTCAAACACAGTTATTATCAACTTCGGAGAATAGTAACGTTTAAGAAGAAAACTAACTTCATACTTCCATTTTTTAGACTCAGGATCATTAACACTAGTTACTTTATCGTAACAGCCAGTTGGAAACGGGTGGTATGACCCAAAACCAGTTACAACAAAGCAGATGCATCCCCTCTCTCTGGTTCCTTAGATCCTGAGATTCACAATTATTTTAAAATTCCCGTCCTGCTCATGGATCCTATCTTGAACCACACTCTGTATTCCTAATCTTTTTCACTACCACTACTAATTTACTAACCACATCTGGCTGTTGATGTGGTGTGGTAATTTGGATAGATGGGAGCCCAATGTATACTCGTAGTTAGTGATCAGAGACTATCAGTGATATGTCAAGTAGTGGGTTGCATTGTCGATATCTTAAACAGACTATCATTCCCAAATTTTGACTATTTAGCCAATTTTTTTCTACTAACTGTAATTTAATGTTCAGCTTGTCATTACTTTTGACGATACCCCCCATCCTGTCTCATATTGTTAGTCTTCTCTCTTCATGTACTGAGTTGAGATTCGGCAACTAGAACCGATGTACACTTGTATCATGTCCTGCTTTGATGATGACCGATACTCAAGCATTCTTAGTGATGACTGAATGTGACTACATCTCATTTCTCAACTGAATTATTGCAATGTATTTCAACATTTGTCCTTTTTGTTGCCGACTGGGTCGGTTATTCATGATATACTAAAGATAGCATATCCTCATAACAATAACTTGCTTGTAGTTTTGGCTCTATGGTTAAGAAACTTTCTTTCCGTCTAGAGTTAGAAGTTCAAAGCCATCTCATACTCAGTCTAAACAGACGTGTAGTAAATTCAGCTCTCGTACAAAAAGAATGGTGACTCGACACCTAGACTGGTGGCCACATTGCAACACGATCGACAGCATTCGATCTGCACTAATAAGGACTAGACAAGCATCAAATAGACATTGATCACCACCCAGTGATCAATCAATTGTGATTACATCTCAGTCCTACAGGAGGTTAGTCACAGCTCGGATAGCTCAGTGGTAACGTCTCTGACTGTGAAGCTGGGTGACACGAGATCGAATCGGCCAGGGAGCACCAGTTCCCTCAAGATTACAGGTACACCTTGCTGACGAGTGCCAAGTAGCACGAAACCCGGGTGCAGGGATTCCTGTTGACTACCTCCAACCACCATCCAAATATGAATCAGCATTTTATCAAGAGAAGAACAACTATTTCAGTAACCTCTGAAGTTTTAGGTGATTATTTGAATTGAAGGTTCTTAATATTACTACTATTACAACTATATGTCACCTCAGTATATGAAAATATAATGGAGTGAAGTGTCAATGGGAGGAAACTAGTTAAGCAGACTACAACTAATAATTAGCTTTTGTTTCAAGAATGGTGGAAAACTAACTGTTTCTCTTGGAAACGTTCGCTAAACAGATTGTCTTAGTGTTTCCAGTATGAAGTTCGCAATTAGATCAAGTAGTGCATAAATACTGAAAACTGAGAATCTTTATTTCACTTAATACTTTATTTTTCCCAACATATAAATATATTTATTACTTAGTGTAGTCCGAAATTTTCGACCGACACTCGATACTAATAACACAAACTCCTCAAATACTGAGGATAACCAGGACTTTTTCAGATGTATTTGTGGAATCTTAAACTCAAAATATTGATGTCACATGATGGTGACATGGTGACTCATGATTTATTCATAATTCTTACATACCTGATCAGGTTTTGAGATTACCGAAAAAGCTTTCGACATGATTGGTAATTCAAATGAATGATGGCCGAATTACACAAGTTTACAAAGTTTGTCAAACATTTCACTGAAATTTCGGAGAGGATAAAATGGGTTTATAAGTAAACTGTAGACTGAGAAGACCAAGGAATACTCAATCGAACTTCATTCATAAACATTACAGTGTAGTGAACCGATCGAATTTGAGTTATAGGCTAGTACATATTCACACTGATGAATGATTTAACACGAAAAACCAACAAGATAGTAAGCACTTTTATGGACAAGATGCATCAAATTCGGATTTGTATTTTTCTATCCACTCTCGAGCAGTGATTTTTTGCGGTAGGACATCGGCCAGAAAATTGTAGCGATCTAACTGACATTGAAGACGAGAAAGATCCTTGTAAGTCAATTCAGATCGATTACCACGAATCGCAGTGGACACAAGCTCACTTACAAACATTTCCTAAACCTTATAATAAAATAACACAATATTTACAGTAGCTTTAGATAGACATACAACAGAATCTGATGAAACACAGTCCACATCAGGAGAACTTTTCATCATAAGGCGAGTCCTGAAAGCCGGTATACGGAGTCCCAAAATCTCATCTGTGGTACTATACCGCGGCATTTTAGTAAAAAACTCGAAATTTCGAAGTCGACTATTACTGCATAAAAGGCGATTTCGTAGTTCAGTATCCAATCACCAAATACAGAAAGCCGCTTTGTGTTAAGCAATTCTAGTCTGTAAAATAAGAAGGGTAAACGAAATGGGCAGTAGGATTACAACTTATGGACGACCTTGAATCGACTCTAATGTGACCTTTAGAGTTCAAATGGTTGTGGACGGAATAGAAAAAGCTTCCGCTTGATAGTCTTCCGTGTCTAGTAGCAAGGGATCACCAAATCCTCCAGACAAGAGCCAAGGTATGTTAACAATAAAACAGGAAAAGAAATTAATAAATCATAGTGCGGTACTATCCTTAGTCCTTAAGAATAGATCAAGTTGCCTCTTAAAGGACTCCTGGAAAGTCGCTTGGGCTAGTTCGGCCGTCGACGAATTCCAGCATTTGACAACTCATAAGGAGTAAACGTTATGTCTGCAGTCCGTTCTGCTATGTTGTGTCTCCAGTTTTTGGGTGTTACCTCTTAGGTTAGTGTTCGAACTAAGCTTCAGGTGTTTGAGAGGATGTCCAGAAGTGTTAAGGATACTATAAGCCATCAGAAGGTCACCTCTAAGACTTCTATACTCTAATGGGTAAAGGTTAAGGGAATGGAGGCGTTCTTCGTAAGGCTTAGATTTAAGTCCTCGAAATGATTTCGTGGCTCGCCGTTGGATACGCTCCAAAGTGACCTTGTCCTTTTGGAGTGAGGGGGGAGTACTATGTTTCCGTACTCTAAATGGGGACGGATAAAACTATTGAAGATTGTATGGAAAGTTCTTCCGTCAAACTCCACAAAAATGCGCTTCAGCTTTACCAGTGCAAGGTTTGCTCGGAAGGCATTTTTGTCACAATTAGCGTAAGACTTTAAATCATGAGGCACCAGGACTCATAAGTCTTATTCGACTTGAGATACTACTAGAGAGGAGTTTCCTAAGTTGTAACTGCAGTTTGCGACATGTCGCAGATGAACTACTTTACACTTTGAAGTGTTAAAGTTAAGTCCGTTATCGTCTGCCCAACTTTGAAGTCAAGTCAGATCCTCCTGAAGTGCCTATGTGTCGTCTTGGTTGCGTATCTCTCTCCGGAGCTTCACGTCGTTGGCAAAAAGTAATAAGTCTGATGATAACTGTTGAGGAAGATCATTTATGTGAATCAAGAATAGAAGAGGTCCTAGTACCGAGCCCTGGGGGACCCCACTAGGACATTCCATAGCCTGAGATAAAGTGAAATTAACCCTAACCTTAAAGTGTCGATTTTTCAGGTATGAGCCAATCGACTAGAGGTGGTCTGATACCTAGTCGGTTGAGCTTATTGATAAGACATAAATGGTTATCCTTATCAAAAGCTTTTGAGAAATCTAGGTAGATTATGTCGACCTTTCCCTTGCGATCGAGGATGCTTTTCCATCTGTCCACCGCAGTCAGCAGGTTGGTTATACAAGAGTAACCCTTCCTGAAACCATGCTGTTGAGGTGAGAAGAAATTTAAGGACAGTAAATAGTCATTTATACCATCGCATATCAGGGACTCCATGATTTTTTAGGGTATGGTGAGAAGAGCCACCGATCGGTAACTTGAAGGTTCACTGCGTCGACCTCCTTTGAAAATTGGCGTGATATGAGCGAGCCTACAGTTTTGGCTTGATGAAGAGAGGTTGCATAACAAAATAAGCTTTTAGGATTAGAGGCAAATTTGTCCATAAGCTTTGTCTGGTACTGAAGCCTATCTTCTCTTGTAGCCTTCATGCATATGTTCCTTATATGTTTATATTACCTGCACGCTCCGTCGTTGTCAGTTCGTTTGTATTCCGCCAAACAGTGCCTCTTGCTGCTTAGCAAGCGAAGGGTACGGTTCTTGGTTATTTTAGGTGATTTGAAGCTTTTGGGAACCGTTTTAGGAACTGGTTGGTTTATAGCACGTAAGAGCGTGTGCAGTAAGAAGTCCCAATGACCGTCCACATCGAGTTGAGGGTGAACATCCCAATCCATCTGTTGTAGATTGTCGTGTAGAGTTGTCACATTCAACCGTCTAAAATTCTAACGCAAGTTATTGGTGAGATACCTAAGCTAATTTTGCTAACAAAACTGAAGGCTATGACGACATGATCTCCTTTTCCCAGGGGAGCCGAAATTGAGAGGTTGTCAACTAGAAATTCTTCGTCTGTGAATACACAGTCTAAGCACGATGGCGTCTGACTGATTCCCCAACGAGTTGACGACCTCACATTTTCGTGCAATCCCAAGTCATCGATAATGTTGAAGAACCGAGCTTCAATTGAGTTATCGCCTCCAGTATACGTGTATTCCGCGAAGTTGACTCTAGGGAGATTAAAGTTCCCTAGAATCAGGATGTGTGTGAAACCGAGACGAGCAGAGCCGGATAGACCTTCCAGCATACGACTATCGTACTCGATGTCGGCAGTTGGCTTCTTGTAAATGACTCCGAATAGACACCTCAAAGTACTTGGCAATCTTACAGAGCACCATATAGATTCCTCAAAATTGTTAAACTCGAGGTTATGAACTTCATGCACCTCTAAACAAGAACGTATGTAAACAGCTACTCCGCCCCTATATCGTGATTTTCTATCTTTGCGGAACAAAGACATCCCAGGTAATGCTAACTCATGATTCAAAAACTGAGAAGATATCCAGGTTTCAGATATTCCTATTAGATGGGCCTTATTAGCTTTGTTAAGTTCACGCAGTTCATCCAATTTGTTTGTTAGACTCGCTTCGTTCATATATAAGCACTTTATGCTTTCAATTTGGAACGCGTGAGCTTCGTCCTGTTTGTCTTTATGAGCCTTACGTTAATGGACAGGTAGCCCAACTTAATGAGGTTTGCCGAGGGGGTGGGCCCTGTAATTTACACGTTTTTTTATCGTCTAAACAGTTCACAAGTATAATGATCAGCTCCAACTTGCCTTTGTGTTTGATCCTAGCTTCGTATGGCCCATCCAGGTGCATGTGGATTTCAGGTGGCAGTCCACGTCTGTTGGCACGAAATGCTTCCAGAGTTGCATCCGCCATATGTGAAGATGGGAAGGTTATCTTCATTAGAAGGGGTCTAGAATCACCATCCTTCTTGGTTGGTCTCGTCACATGCCGAGTCGGTATGTTTTTGAGCCTCAAGGATTGTTTGATGAATTTCCATTCCCTGAGTGCCCACTCACTAGAGCTAAATGAAAGTTATATACTACTGTGAGGAATGAGGATTATGATTTACAGTTGATGGTTAAGTCTAAGTATCAGCTTTAGGGTTTTTATCACGAAATATCATCAGCTGAACTGACAAAATGCCACTTTGCTAAATAAATGTATGAATTTCGCCCCAAAATCGGAAAACTGTTACTCCAAATCTGACTGCATCAGTCCTTAAATATAGTTTGGTGGCCATTTGTGGATATGATTTTTTCCTGCAGTTTGAGTGAGCACATTTCTCTCAGAGCAGTGTGGATTCTGGGTACGAGCAGTTATCACATTACCAGGCACGATGTTGGTTGTATTGTTAAAAAAAATGAGGTGATAATTCGAGTGCTAACAGAAGACTAATGTTCCAAGGAATAAATAGATCAGTTAACTAACTGTAAATGGAGAGATTGTGAGGAGACTGAAGTGTAAGAATAGGAGTAGAACAAAGGAAATAATGTTATAGATAGAAAGGGGTTTATGATATATGATGGTAATGAAGGTGGCACAGGTATTCAGTGTTTGACAACGCTTTTACCAGTAATACCTTCTAATATAACTCGTACCCGCCAAGAGAAATCAAAAGACAGAATCGAGGAGATCAGAAGTTGTATTTGACGATTGTCAATATATCAGAACTGTCTGATCTAGTCTGGCTAGCGATTGTAGTAGATGTTGAGCACAGCGTTGCCACACGTGACCTGGTGCGGATGAATGACGGAGCGCCTTCAGCTAGGTAAGTCCACTAAAACTAATCTGGTCAGCATGCGATGTCGAAAACTCACAGAGCTATTTGTTTTGTGGGTTTATTTACCGCTACAGTAACAAACAACATTAGGTGAATTGAGACGTGCATCAAGTAAGTGGTCCAGGCTGGAGATAGGTTTTCTTAGTTGTGGGCGTGTGTGGGCTACATTATGAGTAATGCATTGTATCTGAGTAAAACAATTGCGATAGAACCCTAAAACGCAACAGGCGATCAGCATATTGACCCGGTGAAAGGACATGAAAGCTAGAATTTAACACGACCTAAGCTACACTCAGTCACTAATAGGCAAGCTATCTGTGTGTACAGTGGCTGGAGTTAGTACAAACAAACTGTGCAAAACAGGATAGAAAGCGAATCAGAATAGATTTTGGTCAAGTGTCCTTTTAAGTATTGCTTTCATTCCATTGAGCGAGCAAAATCGTCATAAAATGACTGGACCTGTTGTTTATATCTGCATTGACCTCGCATTGGCCAGTCTGATCAAATGGTCAACACAAGCTGAGACAAATAAATCCGGTTGAATTGTGGGAAAATCTTTAAAGTACAGGGTCTTTACATTGTCAGCGTTCAGAGATATTAGTTCTCCAAGCCACTTTTGGTGGTACAGGAAAGTAAGTCGCAAGCCATCGTGGGTGCGGAAAACTCTGACGTTATTGCTGCCTCAAAAGCATGGCTGACACCGGAATATACAGTAGCAAAACTAAAATATGTATGTCCTTGCTCTATAAAACCTATGTACTAAATCGTAGGAGGACAGTGTCATCGGATGTTTTAAAAACACACCTACCGTATGAGCTTTTGACGTGATCATACGTGATTCATGTTCGGCAGTTATACGAACAAGTAGCTCAGGTGTTCAAAACCCGTATAGGTGTAGGAAAATTGCAAAAGGGCAACTTCTAGAGAAAAATGTGTGACTCGACGTTTACTGATACATAACAAATATACCCGGATCCTAACCAGCAGTCTTGGTTCAGAAAATCCAATGGAACATTGTAGACCGATCTGGAATAATAATACTTATTTCTAGTAGAGTATATATATATATATACCAATATTTCTTTCGATAGCCTCAGAAGTTGTGAAGTCATTGTTATATGATGGTATGTGTGACTATGTGTTATCCATAAACTTCTTATTACGTAAATAGTACGGTTTAAAGAAGGTTTGTTATTGCATAGTCATCCCGCACACCGCAGTGGACAGACAGATGAACACTATTGACCGTAATGTGGGGGGTTCATGTCATTACATTCGCTTTTAAATTTCTATTGATAAGGTCAGTCATATATGTTCCATCAATAGGCCTGGACGGTCATCAGGTCACAGAATGTCATAATGGGGTTGCTCAGGGTTTAGCACTGAGGCATTTTATTGGATGATATAAATGACGTTCTTCAACAAGCGTCGTCTGATTTGTTACTTTTCTTTGGTGATGTGAAACCCTGGGGAGAAGTTTGCAATCAAGAATATAAGATGATATCACAGGATGATCTAACCCGATTTCAGAGTTGGCAGATAACAACGGACTTAATTTTCATACTTTAAGGTGTAAAACAGTTCATCTGAAAGATGGTGCAGACTGGGCATACCACTTCTGTAACTCCTATCTAGAGATATTTTAACTTAAAGAAAATATATGAGTGCTGGTACCCTATGATGCATAGTCTCAGCCGATTTACAAATCGACTTTACATAATAGAGCACAAAAATATAGTGTTTCCTTCTCCAATTCGAGAGGGTAGTGAAGGTGCCACAGGTATGGAGATTTCGACAACGATTTAACCAGTAACCCCTTCTATATAAAGCGCACCCACCAAGTGAAATCAAAAGACAGAAGCGAAGAAGTTTGAAGATATATTTCATATGATATCAATATATTGAGAATCGTCTGATCTAATCTGGATAGCGATTGCAGGGTTTGCTGGGCACTGCAATCCCATTCGTGATCTGGTGCGGATGCATGACCGTGCGCCTTCAGCTAGGTGAGTCCACTAAAACATGTGGTCAGCATCCAATGTCGAAAACTTACAGAGCTATTTATTTTGGGGATTTATTTACCGCTACAGTAGAACTATACTGGAATCTCTCCGACTGCGAAAACAGTTTGAGAACCCTAAATCCATCCGAAAGTAGAGCATCTCAAACCACTGAATCGTTACTCATTTCAGCATAGGCAACTCATATGTGACTTTCTAATGACCTATAGTATTCTAAATACCTCTGAGCGCCCGATTGAGCGCTTGTTTACGTCCATCTTAAAACAAATCTTAGGGATAACACCCAGAAATTAGGGGCACAATGTGGCAGAATAGGCTGTGGATGCACGTCCTATTCCTTACGATTAACCAACTTCTAGAATCCACTGTCCAGTGGAAAGAAAGACCAATTTACTTCCCAGGAGTCCTTTAAAAGAAAACTTGACACATATTCCACTATAATTTGTCAATAAATCTTTCTCATCACTAAATATACCTAGATTCACACCTGAAATGATTTGTGATTTGTTGTCACCAGACACGAAAGCAGGGTAAGCAAGCACATGGGTATGACGTTGAATAACAAATATTTATTGAGGGCTATTTGTTTTGTGCGTTGCTGTTTCTTGGTTTACGTGGTGATTACATAGCAAAGTGCAAGCAAACCATAACTCAGGATACAACGCTTAAGCTTAGTGCGAATTTCAAGAGTTGCGTGTATATGGAGCTCTGGGAAAACCTCTTTGTAGCACTGAAAACGTCTTAAATGATTACTAGCAGCAACTGAATCCTAACTCTAAACTGTCTATCCACGAAGGTTGTATTCTGACTTGTCACCAGCTGGATAGACGGTGAGACTATTATAATTGAACGACCTTTGAGAGATGCCTGGCTGACCTTGAGTGTTCACCCAATAAGAAGGACCAAAATTGATCAAGTTTAATGAGGTTTACAAACTTGTGTGAAGAATTAAAATTAAGATTTACAGTTGATGATTAAGGTTAGAAACTAGATTTATGGTTTTCATCACGAACTGACACCAGCTATAATGCCAAAACCCTATTTATCCGTAGGAATGTGTGAATTTTGCGCCAAAATGCAAGATCTGTTATGTTACACGTGATTGGTCCGTACCTAAATTATAGTCTCGTTGTAATCCAAATATCTCGATTCTGAGGAAATTTTGGGGGTTTTGTGCCATTTCCTCAAGATTTTCTGAGCGGCTCCCCCAAAATGACAGTTTTATTATAAATAGGAAAATTAGTGCGTGTTCTGGTGACGAAGTTAAATAGGTTGCGTGAGTTTTGTAAAGTTGTATATTAAAGTTCTTATGATGCCATTTAAAGTTATTTCACAGCATGTGGTGTTGGGTCTTTGGTATTTTGTTCGTTTTTTATTTTGCGTTATATATCCGCCTCATGTAAGTCAGTTTTTATATTTAATAAAGGGAGTTCGCTACGCAGTTAATTGCCAACCTATTGTTAAAATCTACTTAAACCTAGTAGGATTGTACTTCGAGTTGGTAGGAGCATTTATTGTACGTCTCATGGACCACCTCCATAGTCACGTTTGTTTTGGAGTAAAGATTTGCCTCCTTACATAACATCTTATGTACATCTTGCATATACTTCTTTATCAAGACATTCATCTCTGTAGGTATGATTGTTAGTATATCCAAATAGCCAAGGAATATTTTATGTACGGTAAACTGAAGATAGTTTCAGTATTTCTGTAGGAATACTTTACTACAATACATCTTTACAATAAATAAAGCTTGCAATTTTTGTTATAAGTTTGTCCCCAAACAGGTTGATGTGATATTTCCGTATAACAAGTAGCGTTCAGCTTTTTCCTGAGAAATTATAATTCCCACCTTCACATTAAGTTTACTGTATGCATGAAAAAGACCCTATTTTCTGAAGGCTAATCTCAGTACGAATATTCACTAAACGTCAGAAAGTTTAATTTGTCAGATCATCCAAATGTTCTGTATAAGAGTTAGTGGATTGTATACCAATGTTGTCCGCTGAATGCTGTATTTAGTTGGTCAAGCCTTTTTCAGTCTTATTGAGTATACTTAAATTAATAACCTAGTTTCACAGTTATTTAACAAAGTAATTATGAACAGTAATTCACTGATTGTCTTTGCCTATAGCCTTATTTTTTTCTTCATATCCTATCCTTTATAGGGCACTTTGTTTGTCACATGTTTTAAATAATTAACATGAAGTTCTGTTAATTTCTCAGATAACATAGCCAAAATTTACATTTTGATAAAATGATATTCTACCAGAAAATTGGTGGTGAAAGTTATTTCATTGATAGTGTTACACACAACAGCTTTATGTTATTCATCATCTTACGTGAATATATCTGTTCATTAATGATGTCAGATAACTCTGAGGACCAAATACAGTATAGTAATTCAAAAGATACAATCAATTTGTATATGCTAATGTATGAAATGTTGAAGGTTAGTTGATTGTTATTTTAATAGGCTTCTTTTGAGGAAAATATTGGTAATCCATTTGACATATTGAAATGCAATTCGCAAAGTTCACGTATTCCTGCGTATTTAAAACCATTGATTCGAGGCCGGTAAATATATATAATCATATTTTTATGATTAAAAAACTGTATACTTGATTAGGATTGAAAGACTACGCAATTACTACGAGGCTGTTGCGTACACAAATTTGTCAACATTTAAAAATCTAATCTTTGCAAAATCATTGAATGTTGGCAATGAAATTGATGACGATGACGATGAAGATAGTGGTGATGGCGGAGGTGATTTTAGTCAAAATAGTATTAGAAGAAGATTTCTTTTGACTAAAGACAGCGTTTTCGGTAAGCTAAGTGATATTTTACGATAAATCGTCTTAAAAGTTGTTAAACGTCAGATACTAAGTAGTGAGTGATTCGTATTAGAGCTTTATTATTATTATTTTAGCACATAGATATTGGTACAAGGAGGCACCAAATACATATGCGCCACATCTCATTTGATATGTGTGAGGTCTGTAATACTACCCGGGTGCCCAAACCGAACCAGGTGGTTTTCTTAGGGGGCCACACCCGGAGCCTTCGACCTGAAGGTCTGATCTACGAGGCAATGGAGCATCGTAAGGAGATTCATTCCCATGGTAGCCGGTGACCAACGATTGTTTCATACGCCATTTGTTCCTTCAGGATACCGGAACATATGTGCACCATTGGTTTAGAATGAGGGTTTTCCAACTCCCCTAGGTGAACTCTCCATGTCCACCAACCCGGTTAAAGCTCAAAAAATTCGTTTTTCATCCCCTCAATTTCGTAAACAACACCCCCGCCACACGAAGGCAGTGAGTAGAGCTTGCATATAATCATTTGCATGAAAGTTATGGTATTAATCAAGAAAAACTATCTATAAAGCGACAATTACTGATACGACAAACCATTCTGACCGTAGCTGCTACCTCGACGTGGTGGTCGAATTTGCCTATCGTTATCACTCGATGGAGCCATATTGGTTGGAACATATGTTCCTTTAGATCCTGCGAGGTTGTTTGGAGAACGGTAAGGCTGAAAGCAGCAATTTGAGGTCTGAGGGCATGGTCTTACTGAAAACTGTGATAGGGCATGACAACAGTAAAGTGTTTCTCGCGAACAACCAGCATCTGCAGCGATTCTACCCCTCCCTTCCGTCGAGGTAGCAGTTACGGTTAGGATTTCTACGTCCGATTATAGTTTTATCCTTTGACTTTAAAGCCTCCCGACTCAGTTGAACGTAAGGTTCTGTGGAACTGTCTGTCATTGGAAAGCGTATAAAATGTACGTTAACCTTGTACATTTTCTCTACTCGAATATTACTAGTTGAGTCATAATGTATGGGGAACTTTCATAGGAATTGGTTACTTGAAGTGGCTGTTCTTCAGGGTTGTCCGCTTTTCCCATTTTTATTTAACTTTGTTATAAACATGCTTTTGAAGACAACACTTTCATTGCCTGACTTTTCAGGGATTGATCTTCCTGGAGGTTCATTTGTTGACTTAGAACACGCAGATGATATAGTTGTGTTTGGTGAAGACGCTGACAAAATACAGTCTTCTGATCAACAATGCCAGCATCCGTCTCTTTCCCCAGATGTGAAATTTTACTTCAAGATTGGTTTGTGTCATTGCCTGAATTAGTGATAGGAAATGAAGTAATTGAACGCATCGACCACTTCACCTATCTTGTGTTTCATTAGTCTTAATGGTTTGGTGTCTGACGAAATCTCGGCATGGATTCAGAAGGCTGTATTGGCTTTTGCTAACCCGCGTCACTTGTGGAGCAGGCGAGATATCCGTCTGTCAACCAAAGGGTGTGTACTGCTCATCAATTCTCTCCATTCTACCAAGCATGGTCATTGAGAATAGATATTCGTAGGTTACTGGTATTCGATTATAGGTGTCTTTAACGCATTGGTCATGTATCTTTGAACCACGGAGTAAGCAATGCCTAGGTTAGGAATAGAGCAAATCTCCATGAACTGAGGTGGTCGAGACATGTGTTACGTTTTCACAACCACCCCCTGCCTTGATGGGCGATGTTTTCTGGTATAGGAGTAGGTTGAAAGAAAGCTAGGGGTGATCAAACCAAAACATGGCATCAGTCTATGAAGTCACTGACAGTTGGACTTAGCTATGTTCATAGGTAAATACTACTTAGTTGGGGTCCGCGTGTTTATCGTGACCATTGCTTAGAGACTTTAATTGACATGGCTAGAAATCGTTTGCAATGGCAGAGGTGCATCCACCCTTTGTTTTCCCTAAATCCCGATACTAAGTTCCTCACAACTTTAGTTTCACTAATTTGTGTTTTTTTAGTCGTATCTTCGATACCTAATCTTTTTCGTTACCAGTGATACCGTTACTACCTCTGCTATTCTGGGACTTTTCCTGTCAGTCTCATCTCTGTTCTAATGGGGTGTAGCAAATTGAACGTACCAGGTACTGTGTTGTGACTGAGTGACTCAAAGAATTTACCATACAAAAGATGATAGTTTTGTCAAATGAATAACGAGAGAGGATACAGGTAACACATTCCAGATGACAGCAGAACTGAGGTGGTCTTTATTCTTCCAAAAGTATATCTTACTGTCTATTTTGGATGTAAAAAGCTACAGTGGTATTGCTACTAGTTTTGATTTTGAGTCGTTCACGACAGTCTTAAGTCAGTGGTTTGTACCGTCTGTTGGAGCCATTTTAAGAAGTTGTGATAATTCAACACATGCTAGTTTGATACACGTATCCCTCACTTAAAAGCTTCATACCATATTGTAACTATTTTCTACTCATTTTACGGATTATCAATACTCAGACTAGTTGCGGCATCGTAACAAAATAGATATTTCTAGTGTTTTGTAGTTTTGTTGAACCATAAATTGAAACCTATTTTATCTCCGATCTAGACACCTAAATTGTATAAGTACTCCATATAAACCAATCGATGAATTTTGACATCGGTAGCTTGTGGGAAAATGTAGTTTCAGATCAAAACCAATAGGAGTAGTTACATTTTTTCATTTTCTATTTAAATAACAGAACAAGGTAACAAGGATTATTAATGACAATTCTCCCTGTATTTGTATTGAATTGGTTTAAATTCACCAGGCTACTATTTCATTTTAACGATATATGTCTGGGGACTTGGACAGTATCACTGCGTACTCACAAATCAAGTGACTTGTATGGCACATATATATTCGGTGCCCCTTTGTACCATTCAGTTAGTTACAACGTAAGATCAGGCATATATATTCATCGGTTCAAGTTTCCATACTTCATTAGCATAACAAGATGAACACCGAATTCATAGAAGTAGTAGTTCATTGATTGGTGGTAATCTATAAAAGAAAAATTGCATATAAGGACCTAGTACAAGAAGAAAGAATTAGTGTTTACATAATTATTATTAACGATAAAAACCACCTAATCTTTTTTCTGTAGGTTTATTTATAAGAAAATTTTCACTTGGAATTTATTCTCAAAGTTTTGAAAAAGTAATACAATTCCTTGATTCATTCTTTGATGCCTATGATAATGAAATGTGTTCTATATCAAATCTTGATACTGAAGATTTAATTGTACAAAAGTTTGCTCATTCATTCACTAGAGATCAATATTTAATATCAACGTAAGTTATATTATTATTATCGTTATCCATTTTATATACATATTATAATTTTCATTTGGTATTGTTTACTTGAGTCTTCCTATTGAGGTTTAACACTGCAATTGATCAGTCTCTTATTGGTACCTATGCATACTGTGCGTATTGCCTCGATATTACCTTAATTCACAAACATTCAACTGACGAGTGCTAAATAGGACGAAACGTGCGTCTTGGATTCCACTGCTGGCCACTACCCATCTTTGCTTAATATGATTTTATTAGGATTAGTTTTAAATTGAAACTGACATAATTAAAATGGTTAGCCCGACCTTTGTTACTACCTTGACGTGGTGGTCGGGCTTGCCTATCGTGATGAAGCAACCGAGCTGTACTGGCTAGAACAACCGTTCCTCAAGGTCCTACCGTGCCAGACAGGTCGGTTGAAGAGCGGTAAGACTAAAAGCAACAAACCCAAGGTCCGAAGACGAAATCGTACTGCTGACTGCGCAGCGGTATGACAGCAGTAAGGTGTTTCCTTCAGGCAACCAGCATGACAGCGATGCTGCCTTCCTACAAAGAGTGATGGGGTTAGAAATGGTCAACCCTAAAAATGCACACCTCGCCTTATCCCACGGATATCCATCTCCAGTGATAAGGTCTCAACAAGTACTGAGCTAACACGAAAACTACTCACAACAAGGTCGTGTGTGACCAACCTCAAGCAGTTGTCCCTTGGGCACCGCGGTCACGCTCTCAGGTCACTATAACCACCTTTAGTCCAATTTCCTTTTCAGGTACCTCCAGAACAACCCTTCCACGGTGTGGGCAACCGGAAAGTGATAACCGCCCTCATACTTCTAACAGCACTCAAAATGGTTAGACATTAAAACCGTTGGATGCCGGCTCAGTGGTCTAAAGGTTAAGCATTCGCGCGCGAGGCCGAAGGCCCTGGGTTCGGATCCCGCTAGCAGGATCGTGGATGCGCACTTCTGAGGAGTCTCAAAATAGGACGAAACGACCGTTCAGTTCTTTCAGGTTTTCAACGGTGGTCTAACATTTGTCGGTTCAATCAAAAAATAAAGTGGTATAGAAATTGTAATCAGCCTAGTTCAAATATACTAGATGGATTGTAGTGAACTAAGTAGGGAGAGAAAGAAAGAGGTGGAGAAAAGAGCTTCGCAGTAAGCGAATCAGAATAAATTACAAGTTATCGAAGTAAATAACTTTTCTTTTGGATATTAGTGATAAATAAATTCAGATAAATGACTACCACTTACAAATAAAAATAATGAAGTCGGTGTAATTCTAGCAGCAGTTATAATGAGAAAGACTAGACATTGAAAAATATGTTTCAAGAAGAATAGCTGAAGAGACGGCATGTATGATGGAGCACTGAAACTAAAGATCTAGATGAGAGGTAATGTGTGAATGCATCTGCACCATTGTGTTCAATTCTGAGTCACGTCACCCAGCACCCAGTTATCACACGAACGTCATAAAGATAGTCTAAATCTCACACCATTGTTCAGTTTAACAGTCAGTGATTTCATGGACTGATTTTTGTCTTGGTTTAGCCTTTCAATAGGTTTTCCGTCAATCACTTTCATCTTTATTGTAAAAGTACTTTTCATAGTTAACATTAGAGAGAAATCGTGACCAGTGGAGTTCAACTATGTAGACTGTCGGGCAGTTACACACTACATACATTGGAAAGTGGTTGTGTGATATTACGAATCAATTGAAGTTAAACACGTATCAGTGATCTGGAGCTTGAGCGTTCACACTCAAGATCAGAGTTCTTGGGCTCGATCTCCGTTGGTGGGGTCATAGATACACACTGCTAACGAGTCTTATACTAAAACGAAATGCTTCTTGCATTTTAATAGTCGTTTAACTAAGATCGATCAGTGGTGTTAACCATAAAATTAAAAAAAAAGCTCTCCACAATCTCTTTTTTTTAGTTGAATAACTTTTATTCAATTTCAAACGTTGATTTATTCCTAACGAGTATTTCTTTTGTTTATTTTTCTCAACCAACCAAACATTCATTCATATTTTTCAGTCGTAATCAAGCTTTAGATGTTTGTTCAGAAATTATTGATTCTATTGGAAAAATTGGTGGACGTCCTAATCTTAATCTACAAAAATACAATGAACTTTTATTATTAGCTAAAAAAATGTATCCTGAAGTATCATATACGGTAAGTGTTTTTTGTTTTCGTTTGTCTTAATGATATGAATGCTTAGATTATTTTTTGAATTTCAGCAAGCTTAAGAAATGTAGTCTCATGGTAACCGGTGACCAATAATAGATTCATACACCCTTTTGTTCCTTCAGGATACGGGAACAAATGTGCACCATTGGTTTGGAATCATGGTTTTCCAACTCCTGTAGGTTAACCCTCTGTATCAACCAACCCATTTGAAGCGGCAAACATTCGCTTTTCGTCCTCTCAATCTCGTAAGCAACACCTCCGTCACGAGAAGACAGTGAGTAGGAATTCCTTGGCACTGGCTGTATACGCATGGTCATGTGAGAGCATTTTGTGAGGAAGAGTTTATTAAAATGTCGTTTGACTCAATTTAGTGCAATAACTGTTAGTTTACATTGAAAAACATTATTAAAAGCATGAAGAATGTCCAGAAGCGCTACTCTGAGGATCTGATCTATGAGGTAAAATCGTATAAAGAGTAGTCATTTGTTTGAAAAATTCTATATCTACCGAGAAATGTAAACAGGTTTTTGAGTAGAAAATCAAGTAAACACTTTAACAATAATTACATTGTAGATTTCTCATGATAACTGAGATAATCGAAACGATGGAAGTCCTCTGGTTGTGTTAGAATCCATAACTTTTGAGAAAAAATTAACACAGGAGATAGTCAAGTTTTGTGAAATAGAATCGGTTGATAGTGTAACCTCAAAATCCCATGATTAAAGAGATTAATCGAAGTTAGTCAATTAACAATTGTTACTGTACTTCTCATTTCCTTGAACATCCATACCAAATTTTTCACATGAATAAAGAAGTTTTGAGTTCCGTGTATATCTGTACTTAAAGTATAATCAGCCTCTATATCAAGAATGTTAGATTAATTGAAGACCTCTTTCCGATAATCATCGGAGCCAAGTACTACAGTTGATTGTATCAATTGTCACCAAGTATTTTCATCACGTTTTGTAAAGTTCTTCATCTTCATTGTTTCTATCTTTCTTTTTGAAAACAGCATTATGCCTCACATGTATATGCTTTGCATAAACGAAATCTTACGATGGCTGAGAACGAATTACATGCATACTTTGAAACATGTATGGCATCGGTACAAAATCCAGAAATATCATTAACGTCAACATTTTCTGGAGCTGGCACAGTATCGACAACTACAACGACAACAGCAGGACAAGGAACAATCACATCATCAGTGTTAACTCCACCTATCAATTCTAGTAATACCTGTGCTCATATGGCAGTGACTGGTGCTGCAATGCATTTAAATTTCGGTCATTGGTAAGTTGATTTTTTTCCTACCACTTAGTTGTACTTTTTATACATAGTAACTGTGTTAAAGTAACTTGCTAATACTAATTTATCTCGATCAATGTAAGTAAGATTTTACATACATCTTGGTTTTTTTTCAGATCAACTTCATCTGTTTAAGTTTAGACACTTAGTAAGAGCCATGTACATTAACGGACTCTTAGCTCTATGGAGTTGCTTCATATTTAATAAATTTTATGATTGAAAGAAATACTCATATATGTATTGTGTTAGGCAGTTGTTCGAGTTTAGACATTGATCTATCCGCTTCCTATAAACACGATTAACTTGCAACATTAGCGAGAAAACCAGCAATGAGTAGAAACCTTTTATTGGCTAACGTAAATTGAAATATATGAAGTAACTGAATTGTATATATATATATATATATATATATATATATATATATATATATATATATATATATATATATATATATATATATATATATTCAGTGTTCTTGGTTAATGGTACTTATTGTCTAGGGTATTCGTATATGTATTTCATGTCAATCCGCTAACTTGCGCCACGAATAGACAATGTCAGGGATTTTTACCTCTAAAGTTTACGGTACTGACAATATTGTCTAAGATGTCAATGAGAACAATTTAACTATTGAACAGATACAATATCACTGAAATCATTCTCTTGAGCTACAGATCTTCTTCACCGTCTGAAGATTAAAATATAACTGCAGAAATTAATTAAGATAGACGATTTGTGGAGATTAATTTCATCTTTCAATCAGCTAACATTCATCGATTTAATTATTATCCGTTAATATAAGTGAACGATTAAAATTATGGGATCCGCAAATAGGAACCTCATCTACTTTCTTGGATTTCAACGCTTCGGCTAGTTTATTAAGCCATTGAATTAAAAACAAGTGTATGATTTCAAACTGAGTTTAATAGTCGGCGTCCGAACACTGATCTACCTATGGTTTACATATGTTGCTCCATTTTTCTCTAAAATTCAAGATTTATTCATTGTTTCTTCTCCTCTTTTGTTCACTTTATTTACTCATAATTTGCTTTGTTGTTTATATTGTTGGGTGAATGTTTACTAGGTATAAAGGAAAATGTTTGATTAAGGAAGCACTTCAAAAATCTCTAGAAAGTGAATCTAAAGATTCATTGGGTCATGTTAAAGTGAGTGTATTATTATTATATCCGGACGTGAATAAATGACTAGTAACCGCTAGTGATTATTTATAGACTAATATCATACGAATATTCTTATTGTATGACCATTAAGTAACTAGCCCCCAAACGCCATGGTACGGCAGAGAGTGGGGAGAGTTCACTCTCTCTCTCTCCCGAAATGCTCTTGCATGACCACGTGCATACAACCACTGCCAGGATATCCTACTCACTGCCTTCTCGCGGCGGACGAAAAGCGAATATCCGGCGCTTTAAGCAGGTTGGTGGTATTGGGGATGTTTGATCCGCAGAACTTCTCGGTAAATGCCTTAATTTTATTTTTGAAATTTAAATTTCCTTGTTTTTGTGCCAGAAGCGCACGTTTCACCTTCATGTCATATTCTCACTTGGGAGAATCTTTAGCGCTATTGATCCGTTGTGTATTTTTAATATGTTATTTTTGCTATGCTTCCCAAGGATAGTTTTATGCTGTGTATATACGTTTGATTAGTGTCTGTTATTACTCACTCGTGCTTCTGGCTTACGTGATATACTTTCCCGTCCCAAGTTTGGACTTCTTCCTCTAGTTAACGGGGCTGGGACGCATCAAATAGCTAGCTTATTTGCTCTTTGGTCACAAGTCTTTGTTCCGTTCACATACTAAGTGAACTCGTAATAGCTTCAAACCTAGCAGGTAGATATGGAGGATCCACACAGGACAGTTGGAAAACCCTGATTCCAAACCAATGGTGCACATTTGTTCCAGTATCTTGAAGGAACAAATGGTGTATGAACCAATTATAGGTCACCGGCTACCATGGGACTGCATCTCCTTACGTTGCTCCACTACCTTGTGGATCAGACCTTCATGTCGAATGCTCCGGGTGTCGCCCCCTAAGTGTACCACCTGCTTCGGTCTGGGCACCCGGATATTATCACAGACCTCACACATTTCAAATGAGATTTATGTGGCGCATATGTATTTGGTGCCTCGTTGTACCAATGTTTATGTGTTTAAATAAATAAATAAAGTAACTATGTTATATGTATGTTTATGTTCCTTTCATTATAGGCTTTTATTTGACCTATGAGTTAGTTATATGATTTATTATTCTCAAGTCATTCTCAATCTATTAGTCATAGTATCCCACAATCACAGCCACTTTTGGTTTGATCTTGTACAAATGTTATTTTCTCTTTCATGGCGTGATATGGTTTGATTTGTTTTGATAAAAGCCCAATATGTCTGATATATATGATTCGTATCGCAGAGGGCTGATATTAGCGTTCTGGATTAAACCAGCTGAATGAAAAAAAAAGCGATGGAGTTTGTCAAAGGAAACTCAAGGAAGATGGGCAAATAATGTATTTCATGTGTTGTTTTCATATTTTACATTTACAATGTGTCATTTTGAATGATAATACAATAAATTGATTTACCCCATTCAAGTCTTTGTTCATTACATACATATACCTGATATTATTTCTATTCTAGGTCACACATACTTTATTGAATTCAAGTACTGATCCATTTCGTTATGATAATGAAGTACCTATGAAACAATCATTTAAATTAAATGTAAGTTATTTGATTATTTTTAATGAACTGTTTTATGTTCATCTTCAAATGTATCATGATGTGGAAAATCTTGTCAAACAAGTAAGATGAGAAAAATTGTTTATTATCTTTCATCCTTTCTAACCCAATTACTATCCCATTTAGTTGGCTCTTTAATTCACAAACATTTCATGGTGAAATCCTTCTACAAAACAATTATGGTCAGAATCAATGTTTGCAGAACATGATACAAATAAACTTGTATGTAACAGTATGAAATAACAAAGGTTTCAAAGTAATAGTAGTAGTGTAGGCACCAAATACATATGTGCCACACACATCTCATTTGATATGTGTGAGGTCTGTGATACTACCCGGATGCCCAAACCAAAGCAGGTGGTTTTCTTAGGGGGCCACACCCGGAGCCTTCGACCCGAAGGTCTGATCTACGAGGCAGTGGAGCAACGTAAGGAGATGCATTCCCATGATCGCCGGTGACCAACGATTGTTTCATACGCCATTTGTTCCTTCAGGATACTGGAACATATGTGCACCATTAGTTTGGAATGGGGGTTTTCCAACTCCCCTAGATGGACTCTCCATGTCCACCAACCTATTTAAAGCGCCGGACATTCGCTTTTCGTCCTCTCAATTTTATGAACGACACCCTAGCCACGAGAGGGCAGTGAGTAGGAAGTCCCTGTCAGAGGCTATATACGCGTGGCCATGTGAGAGCATTCGGATAGGGAGAGCGGGCTCTTTCCACTCTCGGGCGTACTTGGGCATTCTTAGTGTGTACTACTGATGTCGACAGATATAAGTAGTATGTATCACCAATCGAAAGTGATAATTGATTGACATTTTGCAAGTAAAAAATTTACTGTATACTTCTCAGATTTGACTAAGAGATTCTGCAATTTTTTGCTGAAATACATTCGATTGTCCCAATCGCGTTCTCATTCACTACAGTAGTATTAATGATGGCAAAAAGACTAAACATGAAGAATATATTTCAAAAAGACAAAATAAATTCATGAAGTCACAATTGATTGATCACTGGATGGTGACCAATGTCATGTGTGTCAAGTCCTTATTAGTGCAGATCGAATGCTGTTGACAATGATGCAATGTAGCCACCAGTCTAGGTGACTCGACACTGCGTGCACTATTGTGAGATTAGATGGTGGTTGAAGGCAGTCAACACGAAACCCTGAACCCAGGTTTCGTGCTACTTGGCACTCGTGAGCAAGGTGTACCTATAATCTTAAGGGAACTGGTACTCCCTGACGGATTCGATCTCGTGTCATCCAGCTTCACAGTCAGAGACGTTACCACTGAGCTATCCGGGTCGCGACCAACTTCCTGTAGGAATGAGATATAATTACAATTGATTGATCACTGGATAGTGACCAATGGCACGCGTTGCAAGTCTTTATTAGTGCAGATCGAATGCTATCGACCATTAAGTAAAAAGATTGTCAAATAATATTGAAACTCGAAATGTAAGGGAAAAGTAAACAATATATGGGTCCGTGCTAACTAAACTCGCTAAGCATTTATTGTGCTTATCACGTAGACTCTAATTATTCGACAACAGCCTACAAAAATTAAGACAACTGTTAATGACTCATTTCCATCTTCCATCCAACTTACTCCTGCACTAACCAACATTCGTCGTTGAAGACTTGACATTTTACTAATCTATTTGTCATTACTTTCTAGCACTATACATATATTTTCAATATTGATCACTCGATTGTTCCAATATACACGACTGATGTTTCCAACATACCTGCGATCAAATGATAATAACTTACACATATCCTGTTTTCAAAAGATCTTTTATAGGCATACAGTAAAACGAAACAGACTGATCTGTGCTAAATAGGCGAGTATTATTGCTTAAGTACACAGAACACACATCCTACTAATTATTTGTGAGTAAGGTTGAAGGTCCTGGATTGGATTCCTGATAGGTCAAATTATGGATACGCTAAATTACGTAATCTTTTGTGTTGAATTGTATATAATTGTAGACCATGATTCCATTTGAAATTCAAATCAACTTTGTCTAATATTATAGGGACATTTTATCACTGAGTCATTTACTAGTTTAAATTTACTTTTTAAAGGTTTGAAATATATCCACAAATATCTTGGCGGATAGCAACACAAGTAACCATATTTCCATTAAAAATATGATCGAATTGCTATAAAAATTTTGGTAGTAGAAACAATAGATTTAATCTTAACATTGATCTATCATTAGTTAATAATGCTTAACTAGTTCTATTTTAGTGCTAATCAAATTTTATCGATCAAATTGCATTGTATCTATTTGACATAATGTGCACTATGTTTTGATAATAATTGATTAAAATCAATCAATAGATAGTAATGTATTCAAATAAAGTTTGATCAAGACTAAGAACTAGAAAGAAAATATGAAACTGTTTATTATTCAATGATCAATCAATATAAAATCCCTAGTGTTATAGATTGTTTATTTATTTATTTTAACACATAGATATTGGTACAAGGAGGCACCAAATACATATGCGCCACACAAATCTCATTTGATATGTGTGAGGTCTGTGATACTACCCGGGTGCCCAAACAGAAGCAGGTGGTTTTCTTAGGGGGCGACACCCGGAGCCTTCGACATAAAAGTCTGATCCACAAGGCAGTGGAGCATCGTAAGGAGATGCATTCCCATGATAGTCAGTGACCAACGATTGGTTCATACTTCGTTTGTTTCCTCAGGATACTGGAGCCCATGTGCACCGTTGGTTTAGAATGAGGGTTTTCCAACTCCCCTAGATGGACTCTCCATGTCCACCAACCTATTTAAAGCGCCGGACATTCGCTTTTCGTCCTCCCTTGTTTCATAAACAACGGTAATGCAGCGAGAAGGCAGTGAGTAGGAGGTCCCTGTCAGAGGTTATATACGCGTGGTCATGTGAGAGCATTTGGATAGGGAGAGTGGACTCTCCACACTCTTGGTCGTACCAGGGCATTTGGGGGTATAGATCAATAAAGTGAATAAGAGAGGCTCGAATAACTCAATTGTAAAATCTCATCACATTGGATAACTCGAATCCTATAAAAAAGCATTAGTTCTCTCATGGTTGGTTACTTATACTCTCTGTTGTTGACAAGTATCTTTAATTCTTTAAAACTTCTTCCTTTTCAAAGTTTAAATATATATTTTATTATTGTTTATTATAATCTAAATTAAAGGATGTTACATTAACTGAATTTCGTACAAAGTTTTGGAATACATTAGATATAGGATCAGAACCATATAAGTAAGTTCACTTCACGTTTTTTTTTAATGTGTACTTTCAGAAAATCTTATACAAAGGCAAACGAGTTGATGAGCTACCAGTGATTTCACTAGTGGATAATGTGGAACTTTCTCCCAATTATGCTCTATATGGATATATTCGTGCATATCAGATACATAAATCGCGATGATACACATAGGTATAGATGAGTGCAGTTGCTAGTATGCATTACATGGAATCATGTGATACACGGAAAAGTCCACTCATCTCACGAGTACATAAAAGCGTAGGCGTTTTCTCTTGCAAGCATACATTACATGCACACAGACCACGCATAGGCTGAAACCTATACACTCCATCAGACACATATAGATATAGATGCGATCACTCCAGGCCGTAGCTCAGTGGCTTTTTCCGTTAAATGAATATCAAGCACTCAAATCAGTATGTAAATAAGTCGTCATAAACAATATACCCACTTCACACTCATACTACAAGCGGTTTTAGTATCGACCCTTATGTACTGGTTACGACACAGTTTATGACCTACTCTCTGATCCGCCCTTCCAGACAGGATCTGTTCAGGCACTGAAAAGAATTTAACCTCTCTCCTCTTGGTGATCAAAATTTATTGTGAGTGATTAGCTCAATCGCCATCATTGGTAGATCTACTGATTAGTCCTATCTCTACTAGTTTCAACAGACTGGATGTTCATTCCGGTCTTTTCTTTGCTGCTTGCATCAGTTCATAGGCAAAACGATCACTCACTATACAAGGAGCACTGCGCGGAAGTGCAAGTTTGAATTTACCACACCTTATTTATTAGAATTAAGTAGTTCATTATTCTTCTAAATGAGGTCTTAATAAATTTGTTTCTGAGTTGCGATTCAATTCGGTTATTTTAAAGTTTTGTTGTGCTTTCAACTATACTACTGATAAGAAATCCAATACTTTTCCTACTTTATTCTTCACTCAGTTATTAATCAAAAGAGAGCTTACAATTAAGATTATTTAAAAAGAATTTCATGAACTAAGTATCTAATCTTTACCTTTTACGGTAAACAAACTACTCATGTATTTTGTACCCTGTTCAAACTCTACTCCATTTTATTTTAATTAGTCCACCATATGATACATATATATGATGTATAGCTCAGACTTGAGTATATTAGTTAGTACTTTATAGATTGGTTATAACCGGTGGTAGACAGACATAGAAATTTTTATGTTTTTTTACCATTGTACGTTGATAGGAGTTCATTAGGAGAAGATAATTCAAGTGGAAAATAAATGAAGGAAAAAGCTAAGGAGGAGGAGCAGAAAACATTTAACACAATATAGTTTTTCAAGATTTTATTAGTACATCATAGTGATCAAAATTGGATCGAGATTGAAAAGTATAGATACTTTTTTTTCCAAGTTTATAAATCAAAGTGAATTGGTTTATAGATCCAAACTCTATTTCATTTATTGTTGGTTTGAATAGTAGCCAACATGGTATGGCTAACTGTTAAAGATCAGATGTGTGACTCAAAGTTGAATTCATGAACGCGTATGACGTAATCGAGTTACTTAAATAAACAATATTTACATCTGTGAATACACTAGAATAGCATGATCATGTAGTTTCTCAAAAAGATAACCAAATACCTGTTACGAAACTAATACCAACATACATAAATATTATTTTTATAACTTAGTGGTTAAAGTTTCGGATTTCCAGTTATCAGATCAGTTCTCTCTAATCCATTTTGAGTAACCACATAGTATCATTAACTCATAACCAAGTATCTGGTGTGTGAGTTTATTAATTTTTTCGAGAAAAAAAATTATTTGATGACTACTTTAAAATACACATTTGAACTGTATACTCTATCCATTTCAATCTGCATAATAGACTAGTGTATCCTGAACCTTAAACTATATAATCTTGTCATTTAATAAATATATGCAATCCACACTTAATCAGTTGGCAATCAGTGTCCGTAGGTATGGTATGTGCAAAGTACTTCTACATGACTGGCAGGATTCTAATCCTGTACTGAGTCTGGATGGTGAGCAGATAGTAGTAGTCGAGAAGTTCGTGTATCTGGGGTGTGAGTGATGAGATCAATGCACGTATAGTGAAAGCCAGAGCGGCTTATGCCAATCTGGGCTATCTTTAGTGTGTTCGTGATGTTAGTCTGGCCGTAAAAGTTCGAATCTACAATGCGTCGGTAAGAGCAGTTTTGCTCTATGCTTGTGAAACCTGGCCCTCCAAGTTGAGGACGTTAGACGACTCTCTGTGTTCGATCATCGTTGTCTCCGAAGGATTGCTGACATCCAGTGGCAACACCATGTCAGTAATGCAGAGGTTCGGCATCGTGTGTTTGGGCGCAGAGACGATAATCCAATCGGTGTCACCATCTTTAAACACCGACTTCGGTAACTTGGACATGTTCTACGAATGTCGTCCCAGAGAATTGTATGTCGTGCATTATTTGCCGACTCTGGGACTGGTTGGAAGAATCGGAGAGGTCGTCAGTGTATGACATGCTGTCGTGGTATGAAAGAAAGCTGCAAAGGGCTGGCTTCTGTTGGTCCTTTACGACTTCCTTGTTGGGGTCCTAGAGATGGTACAACACACTGGCTAGAGACTTTATCAGATAAGGCTCAGAATAGAAGCCAGTGGCGATCCTGCTGTAACCTTCTTTTACTTTCTTCATAAAAAAGTGGTTGTATCTTCCTTAACTGAAAGATTTCTTCTAGTTGTACATTTCCGTTTCCCCCATTATTATTATTATTGTTATTATTATTACACTACCTTACACTAATCCGGTCGTTATTGTTCTTTGTTTTCTTTACCTTCTTTTTTCTCTTCCCATTCTTATTGTTTTGTGTGGCGCATCTATATTTAGTGCCCTCTTGTACCAATATTTGTGTTCAAATAATAAGTAAATAAGTAATAATCATACCGCTCCACTTGGGAGTCTCATCAGCCCTTGTGGTCTGGTTTGTGATGAAATCTCAGCACAGATACACAAAGCTCGACTAGCTTTTGCCAACTTGCATCATTCATGGCGTAGGCGAGATATCCGTCTACCAACTAAAGTACAGGTTTAATACGCAGTACTTCGTCCTATCCTACTTTATGGCAGTGAAACATGGTCTGTAAGAGTAGAGGATATTCGCAGGTTACTTGTATTCAATCACAGGTGTCTTCGAAGCATTGCTCGTATATCCTGGGACCACTGAGTGAGTAATGCAGTTGTTAGGAAACGGGTTCTGGATAAGAATGGCAAATCAATTGATGAAGTAGTGAAAATTCATCAGTTGAGATGGCTGGGACACATGTTACGTATGCCCAACCACCGACTGCCCTGACGTGCGATTTCTTATGGTGTAGGAGTAGGTTGGAAGAAATCTAGGGGTGACCAGACCAGAACACGGCACAAACCCATGAAGTCACTGACAAGTGGACTGAACCATGGTGGTGGGTGTAGACTACCTGGTTTGAATCCGGGAGACGATAGCAACCGATAGTTAGAGACTTTGAATGACATAACTGAAAATCGTTTGCAATGGCACTGGTGCATCCACTCTTTGTGTTCTCCCAAATTCTAATCTTTCAGATTCTTCATGTCCCTTTATTTTTTTCCTCTTCCCAAATTTATCGCACTGGATTATACTCCTTGAATAACATTTTTAAACCCTAATGTTTCCGATTACTGCTTATACTTTTACTACCTCTACCACTACGGGATTTGAATTGACAATTGTATCTATGTGCTAATATGGTATGGCAACTCTGACTGATGTACGTACGTACGTACGAAGTTCTACATTGTTGCTGACTGACATAAACAATTCTGTTAACTTTTAAATTTATTCTTTTCTATTTTTTGTAGACTATTAACTGTTTACTTCAATTCAGTTAATACTATATCTCAAGCATATTTTACTGTTTGTCAATTGGATTTAGCTACAATGTGGCAATTTTATGGTTATCCGTAAGAATGATAAAATTTCTATTTGTTCATTAACGCATTAATTAATTTTAAAATGTTACTTTTCTATTAATGTAGATGTTCAGTGGAGTGTGGTGAATTTTGTAGTTTACATCACATATTGACTTTAGTTAGATAATGATTAGAAACCAAGAGGTATTGGATTGCTTTTTCGTCTAGGTATAAGACTTTTCAGTGGTACAGTTCCATGATTACACAATAGTTGCCAACGAGCGCGCTTAACCTTTTAGGTCACTTAGTTGGCGTCCAATGGCTTACATTTCTAACTTTTTTAAATCAATTCTCAATACTGTGCAACTGTTATCGAATGTTGTTGGTTAGTTAGTCATAAGGTTATTATTCATTATGAACTGAGATCACTTGAAAAACTATAAAGCATGATAGAGTTTATTAAGTTTTAGTTTGAAGTTCGTCAATAGTGTTTTTAACCCCATGACTCTCCACTCAGGGTCTTGAACCATTAAGCATCTTCTTCATGAGTATCGTATTTTTTTTATCAAGTTCATCTTTCACCGACTAAGTTCTTTTGATGACATTTTGATGACCTATTTACTTTTTTTTTCTTTGTTTAATGCATAAAATGAATTAACAGAAATATGGCCACTGTATTGATGCAGTGTATAATTAATGCAGATTGTTTAGAACCATGTCCTTATTCCGATACTGTATTAGCTAATGCTTTTGCAAACATTATAAAAGAGTTTAATTCTATGGTAAGTTTGTTCGTCTTTTTTTGTTCACATATTATGTTATAGTCACATTTAATTTAATTGATTGATTGTGATTTTTCCACTTTTAATTAGTCTTCTCCACAAGACTTGAAAGGTCACTATGGGATAGTTTACACTATTCATAGATTTCCTATGGAATAATCCCCAAATACCCTGGTACAGACGATGGTGGGTAGAGTCAGCTATCCCTCTCCAAATGCTCTCACATGGCCACGTACATACAACCACTGCCAGGGAAGTCCTACTCACTGCCTTCTCGTGGCGGAGGTGTTGTTTACGGAATTGAGAGAACGAAAAGCGAATATCCGGCACTTTAACCGGTTGGTGGACACGGAGAGTCCACTTATGGGAGTTGGAAAACCCTTATTCCAAACCATTGGTGTACATATGCTCCAGGATCCTGAGGGAACAAATGGTGTATCACCCAATTATTGGTCACCGGCTTCCATGGGACTGCATCTCCTGACGTTGCTCCACTGTCTTGTGGACCAAAGCTTTAGGTGAAAGGCTCCAGTTGTGTCCCCCTGAGAAAACCACCTGCTGCTGTCTGAACACTCGATCTGTAGTATCAGTGCCCCTTCGCACCAATATTTATATGTTCAAATAAATAATGAAATAGGACAAAATGGCTGTCTAGCGCTCTTCGATTTTAATTATTAATTCAAGGACTGATGTTAAGTTTTACAGATGCTACTCATGCATTTTCCTTTATTAATGGTATAATATTCAATCTTTGTATTTGTGTAAAAAGTACATAAATTGGTTACCAAAGGCTTACTGTAATTGAATTCAAATACTAAACTGAGTAGTAAACTATATTTTAGTATTGAATATTTTAATAGTAACAGGTTAGTTCACGATCATAATTAAACCCAGCTCTACTCTCAGCAGTATCATCTATATAAAGTGTAGATACATCAGATCAAGAACAGAAGTTAGGCGCGAAAAACACAGAAATTCAAACTTGCGGAGATAAAAGTAACAAAATGATTTGTGAGTAAATAGTTTACATGGAGATTTTGAATCCTTATCAGTTTGTAAGGTAAAAATTAGTTCCCATATAAGAGTTATTTCTAACTTTTGTGAGAATCTCCCTCTCTATCTCTCTCTTCAAAGGGATCAATTGAGACAGCATTAAAATTATCTAAAATATGTCGATCTACATTGTGTCGTTTTCCAAACCAATCACCTTTACTACAAGCTAGCATGGAAGTTGAACTGGAGCAACATTTAAGATCTGGTTATGATTTAGCTCAATGCGATCGTTTGGTTAATTCAATAAAACTTTATTGTCCATGGGAAGCTGCTATAAGGTAAGTTTATCGTTGATTAGTTGTAGTTAATTCTTGTCACAAAAACTGACACCAACTAGACAACTACCATTGGAAATATTTTATAAAAACGCTCTACAGTTTTTTTTCTGATTTGGCCAAAGAGTCCCAAATCAGTACAAAATAGAGCTATTCAGCACTTCGACGGGTTTTCAATGGTAGTTCTCCAGTTGATATCAGTTCATCGGCAAAAAAACCCAACTAACTTCCACGAAGACAAATATTTATGCAGAATAACACATATGGGTTAAACAAATTTTTGGGAAACCAGAGCTTGATTGTTTATTGTTGTTATAGTTTGACAATTATTTGATCACTCCAACTTACAAACTATTGGGAGATTCCTATTATACAAAACAAGATTTAGACCAACTATACGGATTGGATAACTATTACTTCCACATTTATGATCCATATACGAAAAAGAGTAAGAAGTTGGAACTTTCAGGAGACCTTTAATATTCCTAAACGAAGTCAAGGATATGATATAGCAGGTCTGTTTATATAGTGAAAACCATAATCTTAGGTATCTATATTAGAATGACTGTCCAAGAGAGAAAGTAACTAATAAGAGAATCACAAACACTAACGCGGTAGTATGAATTGAAATTTACTGAGGACTAGGTTATTCGTTAGAATACGTGGTTGATTAACCAAAGAAATTATGAAAGTATAATTTACTAACCAACCAATCAAATTCAAGGTAGAGGATACCAAATTTTTGCACAAAATTGAAAATAAAATAAAGGATGTAGGTATCAATATCAACGTTAGATGTGATCGAAAAAAATATGATTATTTTACTACTACGATAGCGGATGCTTTATTTTTAACTAAAAGCTAAGTAAAACTTACTGATATTTAGCAGTATCGGGGTTGTGCGCATCCACGATCGTGCTCGCGGGATTCGAACTCAGGGCTTTGAGTCTCGCTCGCGAACGCTTAACCTATTGGGACCACTGAGCCGGCCGGCATCCAATGGTGTTAATGTCTAACCTCAACCAATCCACAAAATTGCGTGACTATCTTCCATTTTAATGAGGTAGATACCTGTCTCTACCCGACACGGATTAGCTCCACTGGTCACGGCTTCTCACTAGAACTGATATTCACTTATCAACTAACTGTATAACCTTTTCATATATTACTTAAAAAACTTATCACTCATTTTCTAACCATTAATCCTAACTCGACCTAACTTTCAAAGTCTAGATTTTAATCCCAAGCTTTCTCCAGTTTTATTTAATAAACTATTTATTTATATCACTTTCATTTTGATTGACTGAAAGTTGGCTTTACTTCCTCAAAATCATTTAAAGTTACCGGTGTTGGAGATGGTTGGAAGAAAGTTAGGGGCGGCCAAACCAAAACGTGACATCAGTGCTCGAAATTACTAACTTCTAGTCTTAGCCATGTTGGTAGATGCAGATTACTTGGTTGGGGTCCATGTGACTATCGTAACCAATGGTTGGAGACTCTTGGTGGCATGGCTGGGAATCGATCACAATCGCGTCAGTGTATACACTCTCTGTCTTCCCTTAAACTAAGAGATTAAAATTGCTTCATATTCTTTCATCCTGTACTATGCTCTTATATGCAATCTTTCTTTTATATATTACCCCCATTGAAGTAACTACGTCTACGAATCCAGTGTTCATCTTGTTGTGCTAATGCGGTATGTAGCTGACTGACTGACTGAAAGTTGCCAAGAGTCGATCAATAGTATTTCATTATTGTAAACTGGTATTGATCATCCTATGAGTTTATTTTATCGAAGCTTAATTTTTAGAAGTATAAAGATTACTCTATCAAATGATAGACATATTAGATCCATTTAATTATTGTCTATGGATCGTATTCTTGTTATAACCACTTTCTATCATTTTGACACAGTTAAAAATTTTGATTAATAGAATACTCTTCACGGAGATCGATTCAATATCTTCAGTGATGTGATGATGTTTATACATGAAGTGATTGTCTACTTGTATAAATTGTGTTAGGACATATGTAAACAATTTTAATTTATGCTTAAACATAGTAGTTAACATGACACTAAATTATCAATTGTACAATCTCATGTTTCTACTCATTCTTTATGTTATCCTCTAAATTTTTTCTAGCTATATATCATTCTTAACTCTTTTCATTTGTACCTTTTGAAGTATGCTGTTTATGTTTAGTTTTCCACTGTAGTTTGTATTATTCCTTCTTCTTTACCTCTCTACATCTTATTCATTTCCTGTTTCAATTTGCTAATTCTGGTAAAGTATATATTGTGGATCGCGGGGTAGTGGCTACTCTAATTTCTACTGACTTACCAACTTCAGATATCTCAGTACGACCCCAATACTGTTCCTCAATTTCTAATATATCAGAACACAAACCGTACATGAAATTGTTTATGGGGTCAGGAGAAGAATAAGAATAGGAATAATACTTTACAGACAAATGCATATTTATACAGTTAGGACTACCATAAATATTGACCAATAGGAAAGTGACACCATTTCACGTTCAAGGATAGCATTAGACTTAACAGAATCATTTTTGGGATATTTTTCTGAATATCCCAACAGTATAGCAATTAGAATCGATACTACATTGGTGACATTAGTTTTATCCAGCCTTTGATAGCAATCGATGGTTAGAGACCCTGAATGACATGGCTCAAAATCGTTTGCAATGGCGCAGGTGCATACACTCTTTGTGTTTTTTATAACCCAGGTCAAAGTCATAACAGTGTTCTCCCAAATTTTGATCTCCTGATTCCTCCTTGTCTCTTTTTTCTCTTCCCAAATTTATTTCACTGTATTATACTCTTTAAATAACATCTCCAAACCCTAATCTTTCCGATTACTGTTTATACTTTGACTATCTCTACCACTACGGGATTTCAGTCAACAACTGCATCTGTGTGCTAATGAGGTATGGCAACTCGAACTGATGTACGTACGTACGAAGTTCTACGTTGTTACTGACCGACTGACTTATGTATGTGCATATTTAGGTTTATGAAATCACACCCATAGTCAATTTGTTTTTACAAATAAAATAAGCTTTCATATAGATATTGTATCATAAAATGTTAGTTTATAATTGTATTTTCTCATTTCAACCTAAATAGGCAAGCTGAAGTTGAACAAAAACGTGGCAATGTATCTTATACACATGATATTCTACGTTATATTATTGATAGTGTCATTGCAAGACGTGATCATGACTGTGGACTATTACAACAATCGGCGAATAATAATAATAAGTTTTTACATTCAAATGAATTATGGAGTCAAACAAAACCATTTTCCCATATAATATTGCCTACATTTCCTGAGCATACACCGGTTGGTGGATTATGTAAATTAGCATTGATTGAGTTACGTGCACATTTGGCTCTAGTAAGTACATATTTTTTATACAATACAATCACTTATAATTGCTTTGTTCTCACTAATAATAAATATGGATTATACTTATAATCTGTTCAATAAATACAAGTACTCAAGTTACATTTAAGGCAAATCATGTTTTTTTTCTCATTTGTGACAATACACTATTTATTTAAACACACAAACATAGCTACAAGGTGGTACCAAATAGATGTGCGCCACATAAATCATCCAATTTGTGCGATACTGCCCGGGTGCCCAAACCGAATCAAGTGGTTTTCTTAGGAGGCCACACCCCCAGCCTTCGACCTAAATGTCTGATCCACGTGGCAGCGGAGCAACGTCAGAAGATGCAGTCCCATGGTAGCCGATGACCAACAATTTGTTCCCTCAGGATACTGGAGATTATGTGCACCATTGGTTTAGAATGAGGGTTTTCCAACTTCCGTTAAACCGGTTAAAGCGCCAGACATTCGTTTTTCGTCCTCTCAATTTCGTAAACAACACGCTCCGTGAGTAGGACTTCTCTTGCAGTGGCAGTATCTCATATCCTTACGAAATATCCGTATAAGTTAGGCTGTAGTACTATGCTAGCCCACACAGTTTATTCTAGCTTCCGGACAGGTCAATCTATTCATTCTTCTTGTGTCACATTTTTTGACTTTATCAGTTATTCGCTTATCAACCTTGACTGTTTTTTACTTAAGTGTATACATGTGCATTTATTATCTTATTTGTCACATGTCTGTAACTTACTTTTGTTCGACTATAAATAATGATTCACGCTTGGTTAAATATAGTTGGCTCATATTCCTTCTCTATCGCGCGTCATTTTATTTCGCTTTTCTTCATTGGTTGTGATTTTCTGTTCAGATCAATGATTTTACGAAATAAACGTATTCGGACATCATTGTGGTATTTGAGTTGTGTAATTCCGTTATTCACTAACGCGATTTACGTTGATAATTATATACAAGGATTGGCGATATGTTTATTTCAATGACAATCATTCATACGACCAAACTAGAGTCGGATATAGAGTCACTAAAAAGCTGTTCAGTTACTTCGTGGTACAGACAACCAATCAACCAGACAGTAAACTGGCTAATCAGAGAACAAATCCGATATAACTCACTTTCTATATAGCATAGTACTCAACAATTTGGAAGAAATTCAATTCTTATCTCCCATCAACTTTCAAGGTAGCGGAAATTGATTGTTGTTATATTTGATACGAAACATATGTGTCGTAAATTCTCATTTTACTGTCTAATTCCTATGAAGTTCTATTACCTAAGCTCTTTGTTATTCTCTACATATCGAATATTTTTTTTATCTGTTGTCCAAACATTAAGTTTCCACCTAGATCAATTTGAACAGTAGAATGTAACATCATCACCTTTTACATAGACATAAAAGTGTGGTTCAAAGTACACGAGTCTGTATCCAGTTAATGATTTCCATTATTGACTGACGTTAACTGGATAGCTGTCCTATATACTAGTTTGAAATTTTTTTAATTCGCACAGTTGACCTCATGATCCATGGAGTGAAGTCGAACCCAGAACTTGCATTCCTCATAGCCAGCACGATGCTTCCTAAATGGTTTGGGTCTTAACTCAATAATTTATATTTTTTATGTTGTTGTAGAGAAACTTTACAAAAGGAATATGATACTACTTCATTCTCTGTAAATATGACAGCGATGTGATCACTTAAACTGTTTCGTATATGTACCAGGTTCTATGTTGCTTATAACTTACTTACGCCTGTTACTCCTCGTGGAGAACCATAAGCCACCCACCAGCATTCTTCATCCAATCCTGTCCCAAGTAATCCTTTCCAACTCTTTCCAGTTGTTATTCATCCTTGTCATATCTGCTTCTATTTCCCGACGTAATGTGTTCTTTGACCTTCATCTTCTCTGCTTCCCTTCAGCATTCCAAGTTAGGGCTTGCCTCGTGGTGCAGTTTGATTGTTTGTGTAATGTATGTTCTATCCATCTCCATCATTTTTCCTAATTTCTTCTTCAGCTGAAAGCTGGTTTGTTCTCTCCCACAGAAGGCTGTTGCTGATGGTATCCGGTAAATGAATGTTGAGTATCTTGCGAAGACAGCTATTTATAAGTACTTGTACCTTGTTGATGGTGGTTGTAGTAGTCCTCCATGTTTTAGCTCCATACAGTATAACTATCTTGATGTTCGTATTGAAGATTTCTGACGTTGATATTGGTTGATAGAGTTGTTTTGAGTTCCATATATTCTTCAATTGTTGGAATGTGGTTCTTACTTTACTTATAGCTAAAATATAACAATCCTGTTGTTAAGTTTGTCTTACATTGTTCCTACTCGCTTCTTTTCCACCCATTTGTATATTGTTTTGTACTATTTATCTACATTCAGTAAGCAGTTGTATTCCGAACAATTCTTACAGTTGTGTTGTCACACAAGTTTGAGTGTAATATTCTGAATTGTTCACATATACTTATCACATTTATTGTACTTATCATTATAATCACTGTAGCGGTTATCCACAGTTTTGTGCGTTTGTTTAAACGCAACAGTTTCCATATTGTTTTGCTCTTGGTTCGGATTTTGATTGTTCATAAACTGTTATCAAATTTAGACACAGCTATTAGCTGTCCTTTGTAGTATCGTATGTTGTAATTATTCTTTATGTTACTGTTACAGTAAGCCTTTTTATTTTCATACTTGAAGGACGTGTTTAAACGCTCCAGACACCTCACAAGTTGAGATTTGTAACTAAATTTTGTGTATTATTCAATAAAGAACCGCTTTTGTAGACAAGTGATTATTTTAGAAACTTCGGTTTCACGCATATCTCAATCGGTTGACTTGGACGCTTCGATAGATATAACATAAGTCAATACTGGAGTCTAATAATACTCAATAAAATTTGAGCATTATCATGGTTACTACAATTAGTTGATCTTTTTAATGTTTTATAATAATAATAATAATAAACACCCTTTTTTTTCTTTTTTTATATCACAATCTCTTACATTTGGTCAGATTGAATTGTTGATTACATTGAAGCTTTATGTATATGCTTTCAACGAGATTGATATCACATTAAAATTATGTAATCATTATCGATTAAATTTAGGTATAGAAATGATTAAATTATTACAATGTGCTATCCATTTATCTATGAATAACAATATGATGATGAATACTAATCCTACTAATGATAACAATGCTAAAATTGATCATATTGATGTTGATCCAACCTCTCTATGGATTAATGGATTAAAACAAACAAATTCCAATGTCATATTTGAATTGAATAATAGTTTAGAAGAAATATTACATCGTACAGATCAATTAACAAAATATCGTTGTCAAGTATTTTTGAGTCGTACACGACTATTAATTGACATCAATGAGAATAATCATTCATGTAAGTAAATATGTGTATCTATGTATATTTGTTAATTGTGTTATTTATTTTATGTAAACTAAATGCCCTGATACATGGCTGAGAGTGGGGAGAGTCAGCTCTCACTCTCGAAATGCTCTCAAATGGCCACTGTCACGGAAGTCCTGCTCACTGCCTTCTCGTGGCATTACTGTTTTTTACGAAATTGAGAGGAAAAAAGTGAATATCCGACGCTTTAGCCGGTTTGTTGGATACGGAGGATCTACCCAGGGGAGTTGGAAAAACCTGGTTTCAAACCTATGGTGTACATGGGCTCCAGGGTCCTGAAGGAACAAATGGCGTATGAACCAACCGTTGGTTACCGGCTGTAGTAAACAGGAACACCAGCGGAGACAATCGTATGTATTTAACATAAAATTACAGGACTTGTTAATAAAATCTAACAATCATAAAGTAAATGCTTAATTTGCAAAATGTTCATCAATTGTATCATAATGACTCAAACTTCATTGTTCTTGCATTTTCACACAAATTGCATCCTGTTTCCATTCTTTACTATTCGATCCTCTTGTCTCTTTGCTGCCAGACCTTCTGTTCACGACTAACATCATATACTAATGTCAATATAAGTAGCACACACCACACGGCTACCGTGGGACTGCATCTCTTGATGTTGCTCCACTGCCTTGTTGATTAGACCTTTAGGTTGAAGATTCCGGATGTTGCCCTCTAAGAATACCACCTGCTTCGGTTTTGGCAGCCGGGCAGTATCTCAACCCTCACAGAAATCGAATAATTTATGTGGTGCACATCTATTCGGTGCCTCCTTGTACCAATGTTTATGTGTTTAAATAAATAAAATGAACTATAGAAAAGTTATTAAACACAATGATGATAATATCCTTAACATTATTAAGTCATTTTAGACTGAGTAATAATTAGTATCAGCGTTACCTAGTTTTGAATGTCAGTTAAATTTTGTTGATCCAAGGGCTAGATAAACAACTCAGGGAACAGGTAGTGTAAATAATTTAGTCTTAAAGATCAGTGGAATCCTGGATAGTACAGTGATCCTGAATAATTTGAGTTAGTATCTAACAGGGAGTATCGATCCCTTCAAGATTGTGAACACAATTGGCTGCTGAGTAGTATTGACTGACACAAAATCCATGTCTTCCTGGCTTCAGCTTTCTATCATTGAGTTAAGTGAAACGTAGGTTTTATCAACCTATTGATATCAACGAACCGAGTTGCAGTCCGTAATACAGTTGTTGTAGTGTGTGAACTCATTAAGTTATGCTATGTCCTCAATCGACTTATATATGTATTTTTCATTCTGCTTCAACTCTAGTCTCTAATACGACTAGACTCGTAGCCATTAAACAAATGCAATAGGCTTAACGTCAGCTTAACTGAAAAGAGTACTTACCCATTAACCCATCCGTGTATAACACTTCAGTTTAAGTTAATACAGTACAGATATCTGCATGACAGAGTACTTGTTGAAACCATTCAATTTACTAAAACTTCATCAAAGTACCTATGACATACGACTAACAAACTTCATCACAATTTTTAATTTCGATACCTAACATACAGTCGATTGAATAAAAAATGTATGCTGAATATTGTGAAGTCTTCATTCAAATGATAATATACTTGCTACAAATTAAGGAAATAACAATTCCCGAGTCTGTCTAGAACGTACTCTAGTAGCTGTGAATCACTGTTTGAAGATTGTAAAACACTGTGACCACATACGAATATATTTCACGTAATATAAAAACTGGCGCATGTACAAACTTTCACCAATAACACAGTGCCCGCGTATTCATTCACTGACCGTAGCTGTTACCTTAACTCACCAGGTGGATAGAGTTATACAGTTTACAGTACTTGTCTTTCGTGCTTTCAGCATGCCAGTCACATCGGTTGGATAGCGGTAAAAATAAAGGCATTAAATTTAAAGTCCAAGTGAAGATCTCACTATTAACTTGCACTAAAATCTTCCACGCAGATACCCAGCATTTTCAGTAACCCTGCCTTCCCAAAGACTGACAAGAGTTGAAAGAGATTGGTACTAAAGATAGTAACCCCCTCATGCACCATGGACTCCTAATCCCAGTGGTAGACATTTTAGGCTAACATAATGAAAACCAATTATATGTAACCACTCTAAAACAATTGTCTCTAAGTCTTTGTAATGATCCTTTCAGGTTCACATGAGCATCATTACTAAACCTATTTCCTTCTATCTGATCATTTGCTAAGAAATCTCTTCCTGAAGTGTGAGTAATCATGTGTTGTTAGTCACCGCCCACATACCTCTCTCTCTCTCTCCATCACTTGAATCGATCTACTAACTTGGACATAATTATTTTCTTCTTTTTTTTCACTTGTAGTTATTCAAATGCATATGTCAGAACTCTTAAAAGCACTCAACTATTATCGACAATTAGATGATAGAAAACGTATACTTGATATTCTAGTATTAATGGTATGTTTAATTAAATTATGGGAATATTTTGTCAAAATTAATTTCTAATTTGATATGACTATTATCTACCAAGTGTAGGTGTATGTACTTGGTATTTACTTACATTGCTTTGATGTGAAAAGTGAGTACTAAGAACGTTATTCAGCTACCCAAGCATAGTTCATATCTGAAAGTTAGTAGATCAAATCCAAGTGTGTTAACTACAATCTAATAAGAAATCGTTTATTGTTGATTATTAAGATGAATCCCATCAATATTTACTTTTGTACTTTAATGGTAGATAGACGTTCGACTTGTGATCATTATTAACATTGATTCAATACAACCTGATGATTTTTGCAGTATGAAAAATTCACTTCGTAGAGAGATACACAAAAGTCACAAGACTAACCCATGAATCATTCGTAGTGTTTAAAGCGCCTAATGTCAGTATAGAAACATCGTTTGTAAGTATTCGTTCTTAACAATATTCTCTGGTACGGCCGAGAGTGGGGAGATTCCACCCTCCCTCCCGAAATGCTTTCACATGGTCACGCGTATATAGCCTCTGCCAGTTTTACTCACTGCCTTCTCGTGGCGGGGGTGTTGTTTACGAAAAGCGAATGTCCGGCGGTTTAACCGGATTCCAAACCAATGGTGCACATAAGCTCCAGTATCCTGAGAGAACAAATGGCGTATGAACTAACTGTTGTCACCGGCTTCCATTGCATTGTGGATCAAACCTTCAGGTCGAAGGCTCGGGGAGTGGCCTTCTAAGAAAACCACCTGCTTCGGTTTGGGCACCCGGGTAGTATCACAGCCCCCACACATATCGAATGCGATTTGTGTGGCGCATATGTATTTGGTGCCTCCTTGTACCAATATCTATGTGTTAAAATAAGAAATAATATAGATTGTATAGGGTTTTGTGCTAATACCCACTAACGACTTTGCTATTTTTATGCTGTGGAGTAGTTTCATTATTTAAGTTAATGACTTCTTGTTCTTAACTATGTCTGTGAAACCTAATAACATGACTTCCTTCCTTGTCATGTTATTTCTAATAAACTGTAGTAAATTCTCGATGACTACTAAGGGAGTTGTTTTCATGCAAGTGTTTATGCACTGGGTCATAAATCACACTAAATTTGAGAGGCAACTATCTTTGACATAATTTTTAGACCTACTTAACCCCAAGCCTGTCGTCATGGATAGTGTGAAAATTCCGGTACTACCCTAAACAACCACGATACCTAAGGAAGCAATTTTCTTTTTTAGCCTTTGACCGAAAAACTTAATTTTGATTTGCTTAATACAGTAAGTTTGTAAGTAAAAAGTCAATCAGTTGTAATGAACGTAGAGCCATGAACAAATAAGTATCAGTTTAAACTGGTGCATATATCAGAACAGCGAGATGAATGGTTAACGAGTCGAGAAAATAACAGTATTACCGATATTCGAAAACGCTAAACATTGGAGAATAAAGTTCGAAGAGGATGGATTCACTTAATAAAAGCTATCAGAATTCAGGATCTAAGAGGGAAAGATAAAGAATAAATAGACTTGTGCCATTACAGCCGATTATGAGCTATATTAACTATGATCTCCAACTACTGATCACGATTATTGCACATAGTTCAACCAGGTAGTCTACGCCTAGTAACACACCTCAGACTAAAAGTTAATGATGAACATATATTTTTGTTATATCCCACTGAGTAGAAAACTTATTCAGAGGCTTCGTGATTTAATGTAAGCCAGGTACTGTGAAAAAAGCGGCTCACATTAAGTCACGAGACGTCAGGATAATTTTCCTATTCATTGAGATGTGACAAAAATATATTTCAATCGTTAAGATCATGAGTCAGTTGAAGCTAGGCCACCATGGAAAACCTGGAAGCATTGCTTGACGGTCGTTTCGTCGTATTATGGGACTCCTCAGCAGTGCATCCACGATTCCGCATTGCGAGATTCGACCCCAGGACCTATCGGTCTCGCGCGCGAGCGCTTAACCACTAGACCAATGACGCGGCATCCAACTGTGTTAATGTATAACTTCAACTAATCTACGAAATTGAGCGACACACCCACCATAGTCATCAGTGAGTGGTCTATATTCATTTGACTTATGATCTCAACTATTTAAATTACTGCAATCTCTACGAAATCCCTTCTGATACTAATCAACATATGCTCACTAGTTATTGGCTTCAAGAGGTATATCCTAGAGTTCTAGTGAGAAACAGTGATCAGTGGAGTTCAACCGAGTCTGTCGTGAGGTAGTAACTCATTGAAGACAATGGTGGATGTGTCGATTAATTTCGTGGATTAGTTAAAGTTAGACATTAACACCATTGGATACCGGCCGGCTCAGTGGTCTAGAGGTTAAGCGTTCGCGTGCGAGACTAATAGATCCTGGATTCATATCTCGCGAGTTAGGATCGTGGATGCGCACTGCTGAGGAGTCTCACAATAGGACAAAACAGCCGTCTAGTGCTTCCAGGTTTTCCGTAGTTATCTAGCTTCAATTGATTTATGATCTCAACTATTGAAAAATATATTTATTAACTTTCTATCTAATGTTCAATTTATTTGAAACTATCAAGATCAAACTTGACATTGATACCTATAATAGTTAATGGTTTTTTTGTTTTTTAATAATACATCTTGGTTCGGTTACTCTCAACTTTCTTTTGTATCTTTAATCTTATAAGATTAAAGAAGTAAGTCTGTTAAAATGGTTATATATTTCCATGAACATACGTCCGGTATTTATTTATTTTAGGCAGCAGCATTGAACTCAGTCAATGAATATGTGAAACGAAATGAAGTGTCCAAATCATTTCACATATTACGTGAACATTTTGGTTTTAAAAATTTACCTTCAAAACGTTTTATTGTTGATATTTTATAAACAAGATGCATTTCCATAAATAAATGTTGAATATTTTTTTGGTTGGCGTTTTTCTTAGCCAGTTAGTTTTCTACAGGATGGGGTGGCTAACCCCATGCCTCTCATTTATCTGGGCTTGGGACCGGCAGTAGCCCCTGAAGGGACTCCAGGCGATAATAAATGTTATATATATAAATAATATTCAAATGTGTTTAGTCACAATATTCTTTATTCTGGTCAGTCCATTTTAACCAACAAAATTTGAACATGTTTATGATATCTGCTTTAGAATGTTTTCAGTCTGAGTGGATCTTGAAATGAAGTAGTATTCGATTTATAGAATTTATACTGAAATAACTATATTTGACACTTAGATTACATTTAAAAACGAATCTCATAAAATGATGTTAAATTGTAACCAATTGTAAAACAATGTGGGTTCTATAGAAGAATTTCGTCGCATTAACTTGTCATTACTTTACAATACAATGAAAAATCAACAGGATAGGGATTCTAAAGAAGTTGAAAGAATAGTATTATAAATGATAGGGAAAAAGTTAAATAGACAATACACTCTAAAAGAGAATGAATGAACTCGAAAAATAAAAGATAGAAAGATGTTTAAGTTTAAGGAACGGGAATACATGTTAATTTGAAGAACGTTAAGCTGTCATTTAACATAATCAATACAAAATTCCGACTAGTAATACTATTTCAAAGTATATCACGACTATTTCTTAATATCGAATGTGAGAAATTGTAGAAACAGTCTGTTTTTTGTAAATGTTAATGCCAACCAAAAACAATCTAATGGGTAGAAGTTCACTCTTTCCCAATGTCTTTTCTGTATCATCAAATTTCAGTATCAATCGAAGGGGAATTACCTGTCAACCATATTCTGTACAAAAGCACTTCTAGAAATTACGCTTTTGGAATACCCGTAATACAGTCAGCATTATATTCTTAGCTGTTCTGCGAAGCGTTGATTCTCAAATATCTGCCTCTATAATGCTCCCAGATGCCCTGGTACGATCGAGGATGGGGAAAGTTAGGTTTCCCTCTAAATGTTCTCACATGGCCACGCGCATACAACTACTACCTTCTTCCAACGCGAGTGTTGTTTACTAAAATGAGAGGACTAGAAGCGAATGTCCGGGAGCTTTAACCGGGTTAGCGAATATGGTTTGATGACCCTTATCTAATTCCATTTAGGTCGTATACCGATTGTTATTGAAATATACATACCGACTACCCTCGTACATAATCATCGACCTTAATCGCGTCGGTAAATAACGGATTTAACTAAGCCAAATACGCAATTGGATTCTGAATACGTATATATTTCCTACGATGGTCAGTCAGTCAGCTACAACGTAGGACCAGGCACATATATGCATCGGTCCAAGTTTCCACACAACAAGATAAACACTGCATTCACAGACGTAGTCACTTCAATGGTAGTAATATAAAAAAGACTATACAAGGATATAGCGCACAGAAAAAGGTATTAAGTAACTTTGACCACGGTTTAAAGGAAGACAAAGAGTGTATACACCGACGCTATTGTGGTCGATTCTGAGCCATGTCACCCAGAGTCTCCAATCATTGGTTACGATAGCCATGCGGACCCCAACCAAGTAGTATGCATCTACCAACATGGCTCAAACTGGAAGTTAGTTACTTTATGGACTGGTGTCACTTTGGTTTGGCTGCCCCTAACTTTTTTCCAACTATCCCCAACACCAGTTAGCATTGCACGTCGTGGTAATCAGTGTTCGGACAAACGTAACACGTGGCCCAACCATCTCAGTCGATGAAGATTCACAACCTCATCAACTGATTTACTATCATTTTCTAATACCCTGCGTCTAACCTCACTATTACTTACTCGGTGATCCCAGCAGACGCCAGCAATATTTCTAAGACATCTGTGATCGAATACTAGTAGCTTACGAGCATTCTATACTCTTAATGGTCACGTTTCGCAGCCGTAGGACAGAACGAACTGCCGCGCAGTATACTCGTCCCTTAATTGGTAGGCGGACATCTCACCTTTGCCATAGGTGATGTAAGTTGGCGAAAGCCAAACGAGCTTTTCGAACCCCTACTGCGACTTCGTCAGACACCAACCCATTAGGACTGATCAGACTTCCAAAATGAATGAATTTGTCGACACGTTCGACTACATAACTCCCCAGTCTTGAATCAACAACTTACATCTAAAGGGGGAGAAAGGCATCCTGGCATTGTTGCTGAGTGCTACGAAAAAACTGCATTTTATCAGCATCTTAACCAAACAGGACTATGTCAACTGCGTGTTTTAAGTCGATAAGTGGACCCCCTGATAGGAGATCGATGCCCGAAAATCAAGTCAACGAGAACGTTGTCTATGATGAAGTTGAACCGAAATGAAGATAGTTGACAGCCTTGCCGGACACTATATGAGGTTGAAAAATCAGATGACAGTTCGCCTCAAGTTTTGACTCAACTAGTAGTGTCCGAGTAACGAGCCTTCACAAGGTTTATCTACTTTTAAGGTACACCTTCCAATGACAGACACTGCCACAGAACCTCTCGGTCTACAGAGTCAAATGCTGCTTTTAAGTCAACAAATATCACCACTTTCGGATGCCGAATCGTTGATCTGAACAGACAGTGAGACGAAGTGAAGGAAGCGAAACTTGATAACGTGCAGTGAAGGAGGCAAATGGGGCCGACTCCATTTAATCAACCGTGAATCAATATTTATAGTCAAGCAAAAATAAGTTACAGACACAATGAATAGAGTAAATAATTAACACATACGTAAATAAAGACAACCAGGGTTAATAAGCTAATATTTAGCAAAGAAAAGATGTGGCTCGGGAATGAATAAATTGGTCTGTTCGGAAGCTGGAATAACCTATGCGGGTTTGACATAGTATTAGCCCGTGAGATCCAAGATTCACTTAGGGGAGTGGTCCCCTAAGAAAATATCTTGCCCAGGTTTGGTCACACGGGCAGTATGACAACAAAAATTATATTGACTGACCACTGAGGAGTTCGAACTTGGTTGCCTTGTTCCGCATCAAAAGACATTGCCATTGAGCTATCGCCAAAAGCCTGCAGAGCTCAGGCGTATATGAATAAACTGTTTATTTAGCTTGTGATCCACTAATTAGAGAGACTTTTTATTTGAAGTCTGAGTAATTAGTAACTCGACACTAGATGATATGAATTTAAGTAGTCAAAGAAACGACTATGCTTGAATTCTTTACATCTTGATGTCAATGTTCCAACCTTCGTTACCCTATTTTACCAGCTATTTCGTAATACTTACTCGAATTTTAGTTATCACCATCATTGACGCTATTTGTTCCTTTTCTATACGTTACATATAGCCTAGTTTACGTCTTAAATTTAAAGTGAAGTAAACCAATCGAGTAACAGACGCGTGATGTTTTATGCTGTGCATTACCGAGTCACACTAAACAACCAGATATCTGTGTTTGAGCCGAGACTTCGATGCAACATTTTACTTACATTTGTACTAAACGACTTTGTTACAAAAATGGGATTAAAACAAACTAGACCAAGGGGGGTAATTAACGTGACTTTCATAATCTGTGAAGTCAATCCATAGATTTCTGACGGCTTAAACATAACATCCAAGTTATGTTCCACAAAACAAGATGTGGACATCTGAGAAATTCAGTACAATCACGCCCACAACTGAGTTACAGGGTGGCACAGCCTGTGTGGGAATTATATTGAGAAGCATTCCAAACTCGTTAAAGTAGCACCAAGACAACTCATAAAAAAGCGGCTGACAAGGAGTTTACCAAGGGATTTCCAAATGTTATGTCCAAAAATGTAATGGTTTCGAGGATTGTGAAACATCACTGTTTCAGTTTCGGATGTGCTTTATTCACAAACTGCTGGGCGTGCAAATTAAGAAGTATTGACCAAACTAAAAACAGTAGATAATGGTAACTGAGCAGTACTTAAGACGAATCAATAAAAAACAAAATGGTATATTATATTCAGTGTTTGTAGATTACAAATGCCACCCCATAAATTACATTTTGAGAAAGAATTATCATTAGTTTCCAACAATGATGCTGTTAATAGGGACGAAAATTAATTTTATAATAAATCCGAGTACGCCCATGGCCAAAAATCCGATTGCAGTAGCAATAGCGTTTTTTTTAAATTCTATGAATAAAATTTTCGAAAATTAATGCTCACCTTTACGATCTGGTTTTGTACATCGATTAATAAAATGTACGGAATCCTTAGAAAAACGAACCAGAGGCTCAGCCAGAGTCGAAACCCTATCCATCCCAAACACGTACGTATATAGTAGTTGAAATTGCGCTACTACAACAATTATAAATTTAAGGTATATAAACACTATCCACACAACAATTAAAGAACAGTTGATGTCTTAAAGCTTAAACTTTAATATTTGGATGTACTATGGGAATTAAACGGTAATCAATGCAATATTGTAGCTTTTTGCTTGTTACAGTCAAAAGTATTTTGATGGCACTTTTTCAGAGAGATTGATCAGTTCTCACGATGGAACCAGACCTGTGGCGATGTAGAAGGTTGACTTTATTTCGTTTGATGTAATGTTTCTTAATTTCAAGCACTTTATACAAACACCATATTAACTAGGAATTTTGTTAATATGTCTGGACCTATAACTCCGCCTGGAGTCCCTCCGGAGACTACTAATGGTCCCAAGTCCGGATGAAGGAGGAGGGTTAGACTTGGGATCAGCGTCCCTATCCCGTAGAAGACTATTTCGCTGAAAAAACGCTAACTGGAAAAAATTATTCAAACCTTTTAAGCTCTGCCCAAGGAGTCGAAAGGTCTTCATTTAGAAGAGTTATGACGCCTCATGATGAAAGCCGAGTTCCTTCGGAAGTTACGAGGCCGATGCCCCTTCTGAAAAACCAGAGCAACCATTTGTTTAGGTACATGGAGTGTTCGTTCAATGTGGGACACCGGCAGAGCTTTCCAAACTGCTGCAGAAACTGAATACATAGAAGGTAACAAACAAGTGAAGATGAG